TGTCTTGACTATGACCGAGAGCCCGCAGGTCACAGAGTCAGTGCACTGACTATTAGGCCGATACTCAAGATTAAATAGAATTTAAAAACAAACGATTTAAACTGTTTGAATCGTAGCTAAAATGGAACTATTTTATTCGATGAAATCGTTTTTTTTTAAAAAAAAATACTTGTTTTTTCATATAAAACCCGTCTTGGGACCGTTTTCGAGCGTTTTAAGACCGTCTTATGGCCGTCCCATGGCCGTCCTTGAGCTTAAAACCGTCCCGAAGAACGTAAATTAGTAAGCAAATAATCTTTCTATTGCTTGCTGGTCTGCCTGTTGCTACCTGGACCACCCTTCAGCTCCACATCCTACTTATAAGGACTGAGGAAGCGCCCAGCGTACCAACTTTTGCCAAATCGATCGATTTCGATTATAAAAAAATCAAAGCGTTGATGTTTACGCCGTAACAGCGATACCGATAAATATCTTAGCATCGAATTTATTGAATTATTATTATAACGATTCTATTTGAGAAATGATTTTTATCTATAACTATATCTTCTTAAAAGTAGTTATCGAATTATTTCAATTTTTTAAAACGAGCATACTAATAAGCCTGTTTTAAAAATATGAACGAGGACGGCTATAGGACGGCTATAAAACGGTCTCTTTCAATGGGACGGTCGTCTCGGTAAACTATTCTTTAAAAGAGCTTAGTACTGAATTTAAGCGCTTTAATGGCCGTCTCTTATAAAAGAGGATCGGAGGACCATTTACCACGGTACAGGCGTAAGTATTACCCCTCGAGGGTGCCTCAAAAGTCTACTTTCCACTTTAAACCCCCTGGTTACCCTACCCTCGAGGGGTAATACTTACGCCTGGGACGTAGTAAATTACCCCTTACTACCCTTTGAGGTAGCAGACCACCTTGATCGTCAGTTACCTTGAATTTGATTTGTAAAAAATCACGACCTGGCGCAGCAAGTCGGTCAACTCTTTCGAATTAAATTTAAAGGTAACCAACGATTAGGCCGATACTTGAGATCGAATAGACTCTGAAAATAAACAATTTAAATCATATAAACCGTAGTTAGAATAAATCCATTTTAATCAATTAAACTGCTTTTAATGAAAGCTGGTCAAAGCGAGCTTGCGAAGCTTTGTATTACCGGAGAGCTCCTTCCCTTATAAGGAGGAATGTGGCCTCATGAAAAAATGCAAATAGCCTTTTTTAGCGAATGGAATTGATTGGTCAGTCAAAAAGTGCGCGTGGTGACGGGCGGCAGAATCCCAAAATGGCAGACAACGGGATTGAAGTAAGTACCCGTACTGACAATTGAAGACTAGAGATATACTATTATTTCGAACTTCAAATCGTTCAAACAAACACGCCTTTTCAAATTCTGTGAACTCTTAATTGCGCGTATATACCTTGGTAGGTGCACTCCCAAGCTCGCTTTGATGTTACGTAAGCTGCTTGCCATTTACGTCAACTTACTTGATATTTTTATTGAAAGACCGTTCTCGATCGTTTCACGATCGATTTGAGACCGTTCTACCGGTATAACCGTTCCAAGGCCGTCCTCGAATTTTAAACCGTCCTCGAGAACTTAAATTAGTAAGCAAATACTTTGGCCTTTGCCTAATCCCTTCCCTTACCACCCCTACCTTCTTTTGGTTATCACCGTCGTTATCATACTACTACGTTGCAACAGGCGCACACAAGGCAATCTTTAATTGAATCAATCGATTCCGAAAATTTTTTTGTTAAAGCGTTGATATGTAACCTATAATAGCGATAACGCGAAATATCTTGGCATCGATTTTATTAATTTATTATTAAAACGATACTATTCAAAAAAAGGGGTTTTATATTATAACCGCATTTATTAAGGGCGAGCATTAGATTATCTTTGAAATTTAAAACGAATTCTTTAATGAACGTGTTTTAAAATTTGGACGGTGACGGCCATAGGACGGCCGTAATCATCGGTAACCTTAAATTTAATTCGAAGGGATTGCCGACTTGCTACAGCAAGTCGGCACCACCAAGGCGGGAGTAATAATTGCCCTTTTATAATGATTAAAAGACCAACCAATTGTTCTATCGTAATTATTCTTGTAAAAAGGATGCATCGTATTGATTTTATTCTTAATCAATTATTCAAACTTGAATTATAAGTTGTTATTCTTTTATTGTGTTAGGTTAAAGTAATAAAAATCGTACTTTTGATATGTATTTTTTGACCTTACTAGTGCGTATATATCAAAATTGCTATGTAAATACTACGTAGAATAAGCGAGGAACACGAAATTCGGACTTTTAAAAATACGTGTATCATTACCAACTTCTATTTAATAACTAATAATTTTAGTAGTGTAATATATTAGAACATTTATTTTCAATCTGTTAGACGTTTTTTTATTATTAAGGTTGTCGTTGTTAATATATTCGAAACTGACAAGTAAAACTGAATTATTTAATCGTCCGTTACCTTGAACTTAATTTGTAAAAGATCTCGACGGCGCAGTAAGTCGGTCAACTCTTTCGAAGTAAATTTAAGATAACCGACGATTAGTACAGTTTTAAGCTTTATTTTCATTACATTTTAATATATTAAGTCACCATAAATGAATGCATCTTTATATTCTTAATTCACATTTGTAAAGCAAAGTTTTCCAATCATAAGATGACTTTTTTTCTTTTCTTATTTAATATTTGTTGTTTAATAAGTGGTATACCGTTACTGTCCCGACTTGTTGGTGCCGACCTGGCTGCGCCAAGTGGGGATTCTTTACAAATTAAATTCAAGGTAACGGACGATTAGAACGGCCTAGAGCTCGAGGACGATCAAAAAGGTGAACCATTTCTAATTTGAAATTAGTATTGACTATGAATGGTCTAATAACCGTCTTTTGTACGTAAAAGAAGGTCAGGGGATTGCTGAAATGACCCCAACCTGCCTTTGAGGTAGGAACCGCAACCTTTGCCTCTCACTTGTACTGTACCTACCAGGGGTACAATTGTGTGGATCCATTCTGTTATTCCGATACGGAATAACCTGCTCCGGCCTTCGCTGAGGGCTAGTCAATACAAGCAATAAATCATTTCAATAACGACAAATCAAATGCGCCGACCGAGTACCACAGTGTACAGAGTAGGTAGGAGAACGATAACCGACGATCACCACCTTTTCCAAGCTTCGGGCTCCAGTAAGGTTTGAAACCAAGTTCAGCGGCAAGTATTGAGAATTATGGGTTTGAAACCTTGATTGCGTCAAGGAGAGATATTGTGCTCAAGGGACTACGGTTCTGGGACAAATCCCTTGAGATCACTTGATTTCCGTGATATCCGGGGATTTGCAATTTTGGTGGTACCGCCAAATCGGGACCACAATAGTAACCCAGCGTAGTGCTCTTTTATTATTTTAGCTCTCGCGCTAGTTTGTGGTCTGTGAAGTGTATTAATAATCACACGGAGCGTCAGTTATCAAATACTAAATCACACCGTACGGAGGACTGCGATTCAAATCGCAGTTTTGGAAGTCATCAAACGTGCTCTTAGATGCTTGATTTTGGGTTTTGGGTTTTCGGGAAGTTTTTGTACGAGGATTGTGTAAGTAGTATATTGATTGTTACGTACGTACACGTACGTAGTACATGCTCTTACGGAAGGAGCGGATGAGGGATATTCTCCGTAAATGTGAATGAATGGAAGGTTGGTAGCGAGGGAAAAAGGTGTAAGTTTTACTGAGATCTTCCCAAACAAATCAAAAGGGAACAAAACGAAATCGAGACAAAACAAACTAGGGAAAAAAAAAGATAGGAAAAAAATAAGAGAACCAAGGCTGGTGAAATGTAACGCAATGTGATGACTGATGATGAATGATACATACATACATACAAACCTAGGAAAGACACGGAGCCAACAGAACAGGATGAGAGAACGAAAAAAGGGAAATGGGACTTACGTTAAATCCACAACACTTTTTCTCCCAAATCGCTCGCCCCCTCACTCTGATTGCTTGCCACTTACCAAAATAGGTCTCCTCCCCAGGCCCTCTCCTCTTCCACCTCCAAACGCAAACCCTTAGATCCGCTGCCACCACCAACACCACCACAACCACCTAGCCCGTGTATCACCTGCATTTCAAGAGAACTCCTACCCACGCGCTCTTTTTCCTAAGAATAATACACCTTTTTCTTGCATTTGTGTGTGTCACGCTGTTTAGTCTGTTTAGTAATATGTATTCCTTAACAATGCGGACTGTGACGAAAGAGCTGGGCTAGACAAGGCCTATTACCATTCCTTTTGTCACAATTACCATCAGAGGGGGATTCTAAAAAAAAAAACCGTTTGTTACCGAGTTGATGACTTGATATGGTGCAACGTATATTTATAAGCCCCTCTACACCGTCATGCAAGTATCATGTACGTACGTACGTATTACTCTATGACCGGAAGAGCTTTGTTTACGACGTGCTGGGTTCTATCCGTAAGCGAGAACAATCCAGGGATTCTAGCGATCGCCCACCCCTCCATGGGGCCCTGGACTTACGGAGTACACGTTTCACACTCGGGTAACCCTCTACCAACTAAGATTCGTGGGAAAAAGAATACTTGATTTTTACTAATCTCCGATCGGAGCCCCTGAGCCTGCATCGTTTATTCGCCCCCTTCACAAAATCACAAATAGTTGTATTATACTTACGGGCTCCTGACAGGCTCTGAGCAGTAACGGGAGTGAAATTGTTTCAACCAGCGGGGAAACTCTATCTGGATCTCCGATGACGGGCTCCGATGAGGCTAGCGGTGTGCTGCGAAGTCGAGAACATCCTGCTGCAAGTGCAGCCATGGTTCCTTCAAGAAGGGCTTGATTTCTGGAGTCTTTATATATCTCCCCCTTCCTCTTCAACCAGCACTCTCTTTCTACCCATCATTGTCTTTCTACCCATAACTTTCCATCTATCCATCACTGTATTTCTCAGCAATTCTTCTTGTTCAATTGTTCAAGATGCATCTCTCAACAACACTCAGTTTCGCTGCTGCTACTCTGCCTCTCGCCTACGGTGCAATCCTCGCCGAGCGCGCAACTTCCGCACGCGCTACGTGGTATGGCGGCACCAACGCGGGCGCTTGTTCTTTCAACGGCTACACCAGACCATCAGGTGTATATGGGGCGGCGTTAGGATTAAACCTTTATGGCAAGGCTGCGCAGTGCGGAGCGTGTGTTTCCATCACGAACGGCAGTGGCAAGAAGATTATTGCCATGGTATGTTTGTTGCCAGAGACCTCCCCCCCCCTTCTCAAATAACTCGGTCCAAAAGCACGTCGACGCCATGGCTAACGGTCCTGACAGGTCGTCGATGAGTGCCCATCAGGATGTGCCGGCAAGACCTTCGATCTGTTCCCGGATGGCTTCGCCGCGCTCGCCAACCCCTCGGCGGGAGAGATTGACATCAGCTGGGACTACGTGACCTGCCCGGTCACAGGCCCCTTCAAGCTCCGCACCAAGTCGGGATCCTCGCAGCACTGGTTCGCTATCCAGGTCTACAACGCCAACCAGGCCATCACAAAGGTGGAGATCAGCGCCGACGGATCCTCGTGGACGAGCGCCTCGAGGGAGACGTACAACTACTGGCTCTTGCCGAGTGGCACCAACGGTGCCACCACGGTGCAGGTCCGGGTGACGGCCAAGTCGGGCAAGTCGATTGTCACCAAAAATGTTTCGGTCGCCGAGGGAAGCACGGCGACGGCTGAGAGCAACTTCTGATGGGGCCTGGCCCCCCAGTATCTAGCAAGAAACTTTTTCGCTACCAGATATCAGACCCGATACGACTCTGTTATGGGCCAGGGAAGAAGAAGGCTGGCGGCTCGAAGCAAAAGAATCGGCATGTGTATATATGTAGTTACTCTGGGAGTGACGAACACGAGAGAACAGAGCAGCCAGTCTGCCGATTTGAATGAAATGAGCTTGAAGTCTTCATTAAACAAGCTGAAAGTGAGAATGGAAGCCAAATGGGTTGAATATTGTGAAGTGACAGAGAGCTGTCATGATCAGCACATCCTATTATCACGTGACCTCGCGATGAAGTAGCCTCAGGCAGATACGGCAGATAAGGCTACCAGGGCACACAGACCACTAGTGGAGGGAGCTAAATTAGCTCACGTTGCACAGTGACAAAGCTTCACAGAAAACCATCACCATTTAGACATCATGGCGCCTCCAAAATTCCCCAATGGCCTCAACCTCTACCATATCGGCTTCGCCACCCTCAAATACCCCGAGCTGGCACCTGGCTTACCAGTTCCCCTCAACAACATAGTAGGCGCACTCCAGCACGAGCCTAAACTGGCCCAAAACCACCAAGTCGTACAGATCGCCTCACAATACCTCGACACGCTCATGGCCCAGCAGACCAGCCGCGACGTCGCCACACTCAACGATCCCGCCTCCGACCAGTACTACTTCTCCCGCCCGCTCCTCCTTCTCAACTTCCTGACCGCGAACCCGGACGTCTGCAAACGAATCGCCGCGCACCCGGCCCTCGTGAATGAGCTCGTCGAGAAGATGCTGGCGCCCGACTTCCACGACAACATGAAGGCTGCCGCCCGCCCCTCGCTCGGGGGGTTCCCGCCGGAAGATTTTGCGGACGCTTTCGGCAGCGTGTTACAATTCCTCTCGACTATGCTGCTGTACCAGGATCTGATGCCAGCTGTAAACCCGCGGCTCAAGGACCTGATTCCGAAGCTAGGGGAGTGGGAGAAGACGTATAAGCATAGCCGTGTTGCGGTCATCCGGGACGCGTCGGCGAGGCTAGTGTCTCAGATCAACGGGATGAATCCGCCGCTGATCTCGATGATGAGGAAGATGCAGGAGGGGACTTTGTGTTGTGGTGTCGTTTCTTGCACACTTAGAGGCGCGGATAAGGTCAGTATCAAATGACCCGTCGTGTTATTGCATCCAAGATTTGGTTGCCCAGTTGCTGAATGAATAAACCGACAGTTGACGGTGTGTGGAGTTTGCAAAATCCAGAGATATTGCGGCAAAGAGCATCAGAAGGCCGACTGGAAGTACCACAAGCATATCTGTGCCAAGGGTCTCGTCGAGCCGGCTGCGTAAATATTGAAAAAATCGGCATCAAAAAGGATCTTCTGCGCCGCAGAATTCGTCTCGCGAACATGACTCCTTTGGGACCCATGCTACCACATATTAGTTTCCTGGTTTCCGCCTGATGGATGGAAATGAGTACAGATCCTGACAACATGGCTATATTTCCTAAACAGAACAGGCAAGATATTCATGCCATTCCCAGTGACGCTTTCAATGTTCCATGGGAGCGAATTGAGCTTCCACTGTCCTTCATATTAGCATATGAATCTTTACATTGACCCAGGGGCAGGAAGAGAAGGTGATTTGGGATCTCGAAAATCATGAAAACAATAGGAGGGTGACACTTGACGTACTAGAATCCGTCAAGGAACTTTGAACCATGGGCCTGTCCAGTAAATGAATTGATGAAGGCAAGAAACAGTCGACGAGTTATCTCCCAGACTAGTATGGAAATAGAAACTTGCATTGTCTTCAGTATGTCCTGATAGGTTGATGAAAACAGTTATCACTCTCACAAATCGAGTATATCAAGAAGTTGTCGAGAAGAATGTCTGACGCTGACGCTGACCCCGCTGCAGCTTACAGTGAGATATATTCACGTATAAATGTTCCTTTCTTCCAGTAAGCCAGTCTTGATAACAACGACCCGGATCCCGAGGAGTGGTCATTCTAATTCACAGATACTCGTTTCAAAGCCTCTATAATGTCGTCGAGCTGTACTGACAACGAGAATGTCATCGCTGCTTTCCCTACTGTCGTTGATGTATGAAGCGAGAGTTGAGATGGCATTGACTTACCTAGAAGTCCGCCTCCAGAGACTTGGGATCTACCTCTATTTGTTTCAGAACGACCAGGTAGTCATAATAGCAAAAACATGATATCAACAGGGTTCTCGAGCCGAACTGGGTAACTTTGTACAAAGCTACAATGTTACCTGAATCTGCTTCAGTATGTGTAAGCGAACGGATGGATGGATGAAATGAAGAAGGACATCTCTACCTCAAGGTTTCATATTAAAGCTCACAAGACGAGAAAGACAAGCAAGCTTCTTGTTTGTTGATATGGCAATTCCAGCCTCTCTAGTACAGGAGATAAGTCAAACAAAACGCCGTTCCAATGCAGGCATCTCTTCCCGTAGGTATGATATGACACAATCTTACAGAATCCAAGGCATCTCAACCTCTTTCTCTGCCTACCGCCTCCCTAGGAAAGACGTCCAGCCTCCGGATTTGGGTTGCTCATCACCGTTCGCCTTGGTCCCCACCCGGTCCAATGGCCCACCCGTTCTTTGATTCTCCCTCTCCTGCGCAAATGCATCTCTCGCCTTGTCCGCGATATCCATCTTCTTCTCCTCGAGTGCCCTCACAATGCTGCTTTCCCGCTCGCCCAGCGTGTCGTCCTCCTCGCTCAGAGACTCATAGCCCAATCTCCTCTCGCTGGTGCCCACATCATCGCCTTCTTCCTCCTTCTTCAGGCCGGAGAACAGCCATTCCTTGCTCTTCTTGAAGATCCCCTTCTTCTCTGCCTTCGCCCGCGCAATCTCCTCCAACTTGGCCGCATGCTCTTCCTCCCGCTTGATAAACTTGATGTCCTCTTCCGTGGCTGTACCAGACGCGATTGCCCGTTTCGCATTGAAAATAGCATTCGCGTGTATAGCTTTCTGCTCCTCGAAGAACTGGGCTCTTTTTCCTAGAAAGTCGTCAGTAGTGTGCCCTCCACAGCTGCTTATTTGGGACGCGGTTAAGTAGCCCGTTTCTCCAGAGAAAACTCACTTCGGTTATAAATCATCATATCACCCAGAGCGTATACAACAAGACCACCAGCAACAACTGCGGTTGACGATTAGCTTCCGGTACAACTTTGGACAGATATATGCATGTTGGAAGATCCAAGCAGCCACACAGCGCTCCATTCAACCTCTGACGGCCACAAAACCATGGCTTCAGCTCCGATTTCTTGGTTTGAATAGCTCATTGGATAGGGATGGCATACAAGTAGCAGCAACCAAGCTCAGCGTCACAACCTTGTGTGCCCGGTCTGCCCACACCCGGCCCCGAATGATCATTTTGTCGACCGTTGTGATCTGAGCATTTCGGGCTCGATCGGCAGCAGCCCTTAACCTTCTGACCTTCTCCTGGGGCGTCTCTCCCGTAGGTGCGGTATTCGGTGCCGGTTTCCTCGGTGGCATATTTCTTGGGGGGCTATTGCTGGGTCTGAAAGGCTGTTTCGCAGTCGCATGAGGAGTTGTGGAGGTAAACCGCGTGGCGTCTGTCGCGGATTGTGGCATGGCGGGCGATGGGTAACGGGTACAATCGAGAGGATTGTGGGTGGTGGGAGATATACTTCGTATATCACATCTGCTGCACTGAGCTCTGAAGCGGCACTCGGGGGATGTTTTTGACGTTCCATGATGGATGCATTTTAGCGCGACGCGGAAGGACCCGCTTTGAACTTCGAAGCTTCATTCGAGCTCTGCAATTTTGTTCCCTTTCACCCTCAAATCATAGTTGTCCAAAGAGTACAGGACATTCAAGATAATTATTCACTCGCTTGCCTGTAACATCGCCAGTGATCGTGCTATATATATATATATCGCGAGCAAGTCCAGATCCCGGCAGCCATCTGAAGTGCAGAAACAAGCCCATTCCATTCCCATCATGGATCCTAATAACCAGCAAGCACAGCAGCCAGATTTGGCTTCGATTTTGAAGACCTTGGCTGGCCTTGCACCCCCACCTCAGCCCCAACAGAGCCAGAACAGCTATTGTCAAGCCCCTCCAGTACCTGCTCACTTCGAACAACCACAGCAGTCATGGGCTCCACCACCAGAGCAATTTGCACCACCGCCTCGGTCGACGACGCCGACGGAGCCTGTTCCGAGAGGTATCGACCCAGCGACTATCATTGAGTGGTCAGCCGGTCTACGCTGTGTCATGAAGACCGTTGCCAGACATGAGAACATGCTCAATGATATTCGACATGTTTGTTCCCCTCCCATCTTCATAACTACAGAAGCTCATCATTCATTTAGATGATGAAGGTCCAAAAAGAGCACGAGGAGCAATGGTGGAAAGGCCGAGAAATTCTCATCGAAAAGCAGAAGGCGAGAAGGGAAGGCCAGAAAAAGCTAGATGACGTGCTGTAGGTCGTCGATCTCATCGATCAGCGGCCTGTGTTGCTGACTTATCCTACCTAGCAAGGCAGTCGGTGGAGCAGTTACGGGTGGTTTCGCCACCAACTCTCCCGATGAGTTTGCCAGAGAGCTTGAGACTTTTGACTTGAAGGTCTACAAAGCTCAACTGCAGATGGTCAAAGAGATGAACGCAAAGCTACGAAGCCTCGGGGTCCCATTTTTCGGAACCCGAGTAGAACTGGTTCGGCCAATTGGGAAAGAAAACTCCACTACGAGCGGCATGCCCGATTCGAAAGCTGAGAAAGGAATGATTGACGAGGCTGAGTTGGTCAAGCTGCAGAGGAAGATGCTAGCGATACTCGAGGATCTCTGCAGCGACTGAGCCAAGAGTTGAACGGAAGCGAACTTCTGTTGCAAATCGCACGCAGCAGATGCAGCTGTCCCTCGTTTCTAAACCAGGGCTATGTTCCCAGATGCCAACGCGGCGTCATCCACGGGACCGAAAAACATCCCGTCAGATGGCTTAGGGGAATTGTGGAAAATTCGTGATCTTGTTGCAAGACGCCCGGGAAAAGAAATCGCCGTCCTAATTTTGGAGACGTCGATTTATAACAATCCTTGTTAATAGAATCGAACTTGGACACTGGTACAAGCATGTGGCTGGGGAGAGAGAAGATAAAATCAAAGAGAATTATATCCTGTTGCACATCGCACGGATAGAGACATGGAGCTCCACTTCCGCAACTCTCGGTTTGATACTTACCTGGATATATTATACAGGCCATGCTACGTCGACGAAGCCAGGCTTGAATTCCAAAGAACCGTTGGTGGCACCAATGACTCTGCTTGAGCTCCGCAGATTCCGGCAGACAACTTGACCATGATTCGAAGGATACGTAGATATTTCTTCATGGGGACAAGGACACCCGTAGACGCTCCTAAGCCAGATGGGAGCCTGGGCTGCAATAGCAAGCATCGGGGGCTCTTGGCAGGAGAACGTGCTTTGGAGTTTCTTCTTCGGACAACGCCACATCAGGTGTGGCCTCAAGCATGCCTCCACGGAAGATCTCCTTACCAAGCAAGGGCTTGAAGTGTTAGTCAGACACGCATGCATTGGTTAGAAGATGACTACCGGTACCCAGATAGATTTCTTCTGGAAGATACCTAGGATCAACCTCCCGCTTAGCTGCTTAGCGAGAAACGTCCTCAAGTATTCGTAGAAACTAGACTAATGCCAAGCAAGAGGTGTGAATGCAATCCAGGTCGAGGTGCAACCAAGAAGACGATCCGACGAGCGATCTCATGGATAGGTGACGACCAGTTGAGAAAAGATGAAGGAAGAGGATGCAATGGAACGGAATGCCATGGAGGAAGTCCTCTCACACTCCTCAGCTCATGTTCAACCCCGAGTCCCAGACGATCGATCATCCTCCTTCCCACCTCCCTCCTCCCAGAATCTACGGAGTAGAAGCTTGGCTTGACCTTTGCAGTCCAAGGGGGCCAGGCTCCTAACTCCGCATACTCCTCTCGATCCCGGGTTGACGTTGATCCTCTGGCGCTCGCCCTCCCATCCAGCAGCGACGCCCAACCAGCAACAACAACAAGAGCCGGGTCAAAAGCTTCCCGACGCGCAAGACCTGCCAACCAGAACGAAGCTTTGCACTGGGAGCGCCATATTTGGACGGCAGGTTAGTTGTTTGTGTGGTTACCCTGGAGCCGGATCCGCTCTCGTACAGCTTGATAGCTTTCTTCTGGACGGAAACGATAGGAACGGGAAATTGCTGGGGATGACGGGGAGAGCCAAGTTGTTTACAGTACGTCGTCTTGCTTGTATGTATGTTGTGCATTGATTGCACTGGCTCAGTCGCTCTGATGGTGTTGTGGAGATGGATGGTAAGTATCCGAGGATTTTGATCTGCCGATGTTAGGAAGATGCTGGGCAGGCTAACAAGCAGGCAGATAGTAGGTAGTAGGTAGTAGGTAATAGGTAGTAGGTAGTAGGTAGTAGGTAGTAGGTAGGTAGGTAGCTGCTCGAGGTTTTGCTTCGTTCAAGGACCGCGCTACTTATGTGGATACTGGACTGCGTGTTCATGAACACAGGCTGAGGTTACAGCAGACGCAACGGCAATGAAGACTCGACGGCAACAGGAAGAAGGAACTGAAACGTGGTGGTACGATTCTTGTGAGTATTAAATAAAGCCCTGGAAGTGCTATGTGCAAAGAAACTGAGAGTCTCATTAATCCATCCATAATGGTACCCCTAGACGCCTCGCTAACGTGCTCGACTGCCTAAAACAAACACAAATGAAAAACCATCCCGTCAGTACGTGATGATGTGACTGAAATGTCCAGGGACCTTCATCCGGCATTTCTCACAGTCAGCTCGGTATCCCATGCTAAAACTTCTCTTCATTCCACCACCGCCAGGAAGCTCAGAGCCATAGCCTGTCCAGTTTCTGAGACTGTGCTTTGACCGAGTATGTCCCTTCTTCGTGGGTGTCTCCTTTTCCGGGTCCGGCTGTGAAGAAGACTCGGCATCCATCTGCATGCCTGAAAATCCTGCCACAATCACGCTTGGGCTGGTCTCCCCTTCACTGATAGGACTAGGTAACCTTCGGCCCGAACGGAATCTGTCGACCAAACCCTCATCGTCTTTGAAATCGAGTGCCCGATTGACGGTCACCTTCTCACTCCGTACGAATGGAGCAAAAGAGCTGTGAATTGGGGTAGGGATTCGACCAGATATGCTTGGAGGAGGATCGCTCTGGTGAAAGCCTGGAGACAAGTGGACCGCATCCAACATCTCAAGATCATCAGAGTACATGACTGCGTCGGACATTTGTGTAGATTGGGTGCTCTGCTGAGTATCGTAGCTACTCACGAACGGGGATGGGGCGCCATCCTGCGTTATCGTATTCGACGGAGAGGAGTAGTGTGAGAAGAAAGATCTAGGCTCTGCCGATGCAGCAACTTCTTCAGAGTCCGAGTGTGCCGGTGTGATATTCGGCGGAGCAGGTTGTGAAGTGTAATTGTCTCCCCAAGAAAAGTTCGGCAAGACATTATGAATAACCTTCGGTGATGGACGGTGAGGTAGAGCAGATATCCGTCGTTTCTGTATAGTATTAGCCTTGGTAACAGAGATGGACAGCCCGCCTGGAGGCCTTACTGCACGATGCTCGTTGAATCCGGGTGTTATAGTCTCGTCATTGTCGTCTCGCTCCCGCTTCCGGCTGCTCCATTGAGTAAACATGTTGCGATGTCGAGCGACAACCTAATACTAGTATGGCGTAGGCTTTCGTCCGAAGTCAGATTGAGGATATCGCGACGATGCTCCGCTCAGTCTGAGAGGTTGAAATATAAGGCAATGTGATGTGCCTTTGTCCTTCACGGATGTTTCGACTCCCCCAATATTATATCTTCAGCAGCCGCCTCGACACAAGGTCAAAGATGAAAGGCGCGGTGCGTTTCACCGACGCTTCAGACACTGGCTGGTGTTTTGATTGGATTTCTGCGAGGCCCGCGATCCCAACCTATCCTGTCGAAGTTCCAAGTCCAAAAGCCACTAGTGCCACCAAGTCACGGGGTACGGAGTCAAGTTTTAGCGTATCCGTCCGTCCGTACTCTGTAGTTATCGGCTAGCCGAGTTATCCTACGGAGATAGATATACGTAGTAGTAGTACGTAGTGCTCTCCCCCATGAATATATCTCGAAAGTATACCTTGGCAAGGGATCATACCAGCTCCTAAACCGATCAACTTACTACGACGTAGTACCAGTACCGGTACTACGTACTGTACGTACTACGTACCGGTAGTAGTATAAGGATTCATCAGCCTTGAAAAGTATCTTTGAGCCAGGACTTAGTCTGTGCAATGGACTTGATAAGGCTTTAAGCCATCCAGAAATCACCGCTGATACCGGTAGTACCCAGAGTCGGCGCCACAGCCAAGAGATTATTAAGCAACGTGAACGGTTTCAAGAGGTACCTACCTAATGGAGTAATGATCACTGACCTATGGAGCTTACTTAAGTAAGCAAGCGATTGGCGGACATGACCCGTGTACCCTTATCAGGCCAGGGTCCTCCTCGGGAAAAGTTACCCCTCCATTGGATATCAACTCGCCGTGCAACGTACTCCGTATCCGTAGACAAAGGACCACGTTGGAAAAAGTTACCACCTCTTCGCCGAAAACCTCTGCTCTCCTTTTCTGCAATCTCCAAGATGCCTGGACTCGAAATGTTGACCGACGATACCAGAAGTAAGAATGCAGGCCATTTCGAATCCCACCCACGAAATAAAATTCCAGGGGCTACTGACTGATACCACTCTAGTCCTGGGACAGGATCCTCTGATTGCCCCCAATTTACTCCTTTCTGAGGTGCCCGTCTCCAAGGACTCTCTCAACACCGTCCTCCAAGGTCGCCGTGAGGTGAGTTCTTCTAAACACGCTGCGGAATCAGTGACTGATGAATTACCCCGCTAGGCCGTCGAGATCATTACGGGAAAAAATGATCGTTTGCTGGTGATTTGCGGGCCATGCAGTCTCCACGACCCAGCCACTGCTGTCGAGTACGCAGGTCGATTGAAAGCTCTATCCGACAAACTCTCCGACGACCTCTGCATTATAATGAGAGCATACCTCGAGAAGCCCCGCACCACTGTCGGATGGAAGGGATTGATCAATGACCCAGACCTCGATGAGTCATTTAGGATCAACAAGGGACTGCGAATTAGTCGTCAACTCTTCTGCGACCTCACGAAGAGCGGCATGCCAATTGCTACCGAAATGCTGGACACAATCTCTCCCCAATTCCTTGCAGACCTGATCTCTCTGGGAGCTATTGGTGCGAGAACCACCGAGTCACAATTGCACCGAGAGCTTGCGTCTGGCTTGTCTTTCCCAGTCGGTTTCAAGAACGGAACAGATGGAAGCTTGACAGTCGCCATTGACGCCATTGGCTCTGCCGCTGCTAAACATCACTTCATGGGTGTCACCAAGCAAGGTTTGGCCGCTATTACAAGGACCAGTGGCAACGAGCACGGATTTATTATCCTTCGCGGAGGTACCAAGGGCACAAACTTCGATGCAGAGAATGTCAGACTCACCAAGGAGACACTGCAAAAGAAGGGCCAAAAGCAAGCTATCATGATCGATTGCTCGCATGGTGAGTCACTCCGAGTGCCTAAATGCCGTGGCGTAGCTAACAAATCTAGGTAATTCCAACAAGGACCACCGAAACCAGCCAAAGGTCGCCGAGGTCGTTGGCGAGCAACTCCGTGCGGGCGAGACCTCCATCATCGGTGTCATGATTGAGTCGAATATTAACGAGGGCAACCAGAAAGTTCCAGCCGAGGGTCCATCTGGTCTCAAGAAGGGTGTCAGTATCACAGATGCGTGCATCAACTGGGAGTCAACTGTGGAGGTTCTTGAGGGCCTAGCAGCAGCTGTCCGAGACAGACGCAAGGTTACTGCCAAGGGCCATGCCTAAGAGGGTTATTTGATGATTTCTGTTTGTTATTTTTCGTTTTGCATGGCGTCTGGATTTCATCTCTTCTCGCGACGGGGGAGATTTGAGTTCACTTCTCAAATATCTGTGGGTCGTTGAGCGGGATACTTAAAAAGATGACCCCAAACTGTATTTGAAGTGTAGGCAGGAATGGCATAGCAGTTGCATCGAGCAAATAACTCCAAGACTCCTCTCCGAAGCACCGAGCGAAGCGGTGTGGACTGAAAGGTGTGTGTGGAGTACCGGTAGTATGATAGTACTGGCTGCTGCGGAACCGTTCTAGGTTTTGTTGCACATCGTCCTCCATGGACCGAATACCCGAATTCCGATACGTGAGTAGGTAAGGCTTTCTTACGGATATACTACTACAGAGTAGTAGTCTCGAGTAAACACTACCTATATACCCGCGGTGTCATTCATTTAAAGCTGATTATTACCATTCCGCATATCCTTGACAATATTCTTAAATGTCCCAGGACCTCCGAGACATTGGTGCGATGTGCAACAAAACTCTATGTCGGACTCTTATTTTTCCCCGTATTCTGCATTGGACCGAATGACCCGTAGCTTATTACGCTCGCTCATACTCGGAGTAGTCCCGACTTCCTGAAGGAGTTAGTGTAAGCCATCATCATAGAGTACAAAGCGTTGCAACCCCTTTCGCCAGTTTTGAAAAGTTCAACGCATGGGGACAGATACCTACCGGTATGCTGGCCGGCACGAGTAGTGTAGTTATAGTTAAGCTCTCTTAACGAGCCACTCGCTCCCTTTCCACTTATTACATTACAGGGCCAGAGCATGTTCTCAAACATCATCTAACCACGGAAGGAAAGTTTCAGTGCTCGGTAATCCAGGTTTCCCAGTACTCCCCCAACTCTCCCCATCTACCGGTTCGCTCGAATGGTCTAACAAGTCATCCTCTGTCTCAAAGCATTCAGACCATAGATCGAGCTCACTGTCGCTCACCATATTGGTTGGGATAAGCATGTGCAGCCGCCAATCCTAATGCGAGATGTATGAAAGGCGTGGCGCCTTCTCGGGCGGTGGTGACTTGGAGAGCGCGATGTAATCCTCGATGACCTTCTCGCCTTCGTGCCATAATACTACATACATCCTTACGCTGACCCGTCGTCCGGAGTTTTCCTCTGGTAGTATTCTGGGATGTATAGGTAGGTATCTTGCGCGCCTTTGCAATCTTGTCGCCGTCCGCTTCGACGACCCAATGCCAATCAATTCTCGACCAATGGATTCCCTCCCCAGCTAGCAGGTTCTCGTGCCAAAGAAAATTAGAAATTTTAGAAAAAAGATGTTAGCTTAACGTCATAAAGTAAGTGAGTGACGAGATCTATCTACTTTCGTATAGAAATAAAATATAAAATATAGATCATAGATTTCAATATTGAGTTTAAAACTTACTCATGCAGAAGCCATCTCCCTCCCAACTGACTGGTGCTTCCGTAAAGGGAATCCATCCAAGGATCTCTACGTGGTCTATTCTTCTTCTTCTTCTTCTTCTTCTTCTTCTTCTTGATCTCTTCGCCTTCCGCCTACCTATATCTCGTCTGATCAGTACCCATGCATAAGCTTATATATACATATCTTATATTTTATTTATGGATATAAATCAAGTCAAGTGACAAAACCCCCCCTCTTCCCCCCCCCTGCAACGTTAACTGTTCGATAGCCGATAAGCATTCTTCCTCCCCCCGATAAAGAAAGATCCTTGAGCGCTACTAAAGAGAATGCCTAAGGCTAGCAGCGAGAGTATCGCGCTATTAGATTCCGACATTAGCATCATCATCTCATCGTATCATATTTTTGCAAAAATAAATCCGAAAATGGGGGTTTTTTCCGAGAAGTTGACGAAGAAGGGGAAGGAAGGAAGGAAGGAAGGAAGGAAGGAAGGAAGGAAGGAATAAAAGCTTGTAAGAGGAAGAGGAAGAAGAAGAGGAAGAGGAAGAGGAAGAGGATGGGTAAAGAAAAGCAGATAGGGGATAGGTATATATATATATATATATATATATATATATATATATCTCTCTCTCCCTGTCTTGAGACCGAACCTCCCATAATATTCTAATCCGTTTTTAAATGATATTAGCAAACTAGTAAGTAAGTATATATTTATCTCTCGGTTCTTGATATCAATGAAAGGTCAGCATCCTAAATACTACTTCTATAAAGCTCGTTGCGCTGAGCCAAACTATTTTTAGTAAATTCCTTTGTACTACTATTTCGGATGTTTATTTGACATGGAGAGAGATAAAATGCAGTAACTAGGTTGCTTTTATTGCTTCTCTTTTTCCTTTTCTTTCCGTGCAGGTAGATAGAGGCTTTGGGCGACGGAGGGGGCCTTTCATGTTACTTGGATGAGTGAAATATGATTCTCGCCTATTGCCGCCCCCTTTGGCAAGCGATATTTCCTATGCTTTTTCCTCCTCGTAGGTAAACAAGTCAGGCATATCATTCATTCATTCATTCATTCATTACGAACGCCATTCGGCTTGTGGAAAGCATCCTCGCTATGCACCCTCACAATCAAAATATCCTCTGCCGCCATATCCTCGGCCCAGCAGCGGCGAGATCTATTCTACAACTCCCTTGACAACCCTGACGTTCACGTAATTATCATCGGGGCTCGCCCACGTGTAGTCCTTCCACTGTCCCAGCACGCCCTGCACTTCCTTCCCCTTCTCAGCCACCTCTGCCGCCCGCTTCAAGCTCAATTCCTCCTTCTCCTTGCTCACGACACGTCCAGCCAGCGGCAGCCCGTCCAACACGCTCTCCCAGACCTGCATCGTCTCTTCCAACTCCTCCAGGTTACTCACCCCGATAACCGAGACCCCAATCCCGCCAACGCCGCCCAGCGTCGCGCCTTCGCGCGACCAAGCGTCTAGTCCCCACCGTAGACTCACAACCTCTAACCTCTCGCCTGTGCCCTGTACGAGCTTCGCAGCCTCCATGCACTTCTCCCGCAGCTCCTTAGGCGCCGGGTGGAAATCGCCTTTCCCGCCCACGGGCACGCCCACCTGTCGCATGAGGCCCATGCCGAGGATACTCGCGTTCGGCACGCAGCTCACGCCGGCTCTCCTCAGCCTCTCCAGGCCCCGCGACTGCAGCGTCGTGTTCTGCAGCGTGAAGTTCGCGTAGCTCATGACTGCGTCCAGCGGCTCGCCGGTTCGGCTCAGCACCAGCTCCGCCAGCTCGCACAGCAGGGCCACCGGGTACCCGGATATGCCGATGTACTTGATGGTCCCTTCCGTGTCACGGATCCGGCGCAGCTCCTGCACGGCTTCCAGGACTTCCGCCGGCGTGACGAATTCCACATCGTGGCAGTAGACTACGTCGAGGTAGGTGGTGCTCAAGCGCTGCAGGGAGCGCTGGATCGAGTAGCGTATCCATTCGGGGCTATAGTCGAATTCTGAGGCGGCGATGCGACCGACTTTTGTCACGAGGTGGTAGGTAGAGCGGGGGTGGTTCTTGAGCACTGAAGGCCTGTTTAGGGCTCTTCCGAGGAGTTCTTCGGAGGGTCCATAGTAGGGGGAGGTGTCGAAGGCGCGAACCCCGAGGTCGAGGGCGCGCTCGACGATGGCGTCGGTTGGGACGAGGGCGGCCGAGGGGTTGTAGAGGTTGTTGAAGGTTGCGGTGCCGCAGATGAGAGGGGGGAGGATGGTCGAGAGGGGAGGCTGGGTCGGTGGCATTACGAGTCGAGAGATTCTTGTTGGTGTGGGGGATTTTTGAGCTTTGGTCTGCGGCAAGGACGTCGATGCTATGATCCGTGAACTGGACAAAGGGCAAAACAGAGGCAAGATGGGCTAGACGCTGGCTACAGCATAGCAGAGACGGGCATCCTTATAAGGATTCTGCGACTCAAGCTGGTGTGGTGATAGTCGGGAGCGCTGCAAGGATAAGTAAGTAAATAAAGAAAATGTGGCTGCATCGGTGGCTGCATCGGTGGGAGCTATGTGGGGCGTATTATTCTTCGGGAAACCGAGTCTGGCCGTTCTATTCTTCGGATTGTTGCATTTAATCCATCTGAAACCAGTTATAAGTCTGGTAAGTCGATCTGGTTTCAATTCGTCTGGGCTCCTAATAACAACTACTGATACGTATGGAAGTACCTACCTATGGACTCTCGCAACGAAAAGGTGTAACGGGATGCAACAACATTATTCCCGACTACCTCCCTACTCCGTACGTACTATCGCGGCCTAGACCCTGTCGATCTCAACTCTTCGACGATCTGAGCGTCACTAGCCAGCCGAGCCACCGATTTCCTTTCCGTAGATCCTGTTGATAGGTAGACGACAGCGAATGTGGCTGGGCTATGGAGCTTTACGGAGAAGATCCGGATTCTCGCTTGGACCTCTTCTTCTATATGTCACACTTGAGGCTTTCATATAATCATCTCAGTCCTGGTGTGAAAATATTGCAACAAAACTGTGAAATGTGTTGCTGTCACTGTACTCTGTGTCACATTTTCTTCCAATACTGTCCGATACCTGTCAGTCTCGGCCAAGATCAGATTAACCAAGTCATCGAAGAGTATTCTATGATAAGCAGGGTCATATTTGGAACTCCGTATAACACTGCTGGGCCAATGACAGCTTTCCTGCAACTTGAGAGGATATATAGCCTTCTGAATCTGCTTGGGTCAAGACCGGATGGCTATGGCCACCTAAATTCGTCCAGATTAGCTTAAATTTTAACGGATATAGGTCAATCGGACCCAAGGACAGTTGTTCAGTCCATGAAGCATAAGAAAACCAGCTTCTGGCCACATCCAAAGGGAGGTACCCTGGCTGCCCGCATCTGGTTTCCGGGGCACCGAGTAGATGTATGAAACCGTCCTCTTTCCTACCGGTACTGCTAGCTTCGATCCGATTTCAGGGTGACGAGAGAGTCGACCACTGTTCACCACTCCTTGGTTATTATCAGTTGTGACAACTGGCTTGCAAAAAGCCGAAAATCTGTAGACTGTGCACTTCCAACAAGTCTGGCTTATCTCAGCCTCATCATTGAAAAGTGACATGCCGAATCATTCCAGCAGAGATGAAACAGAACATGAAGTGTACTTATTGACTTGGGATACTCGGTACCTGCTTCTTGCCAGACTTCAGGCCAATACGTCTTTGAGAAAGTATATATTGCACAAGTGCTCAGGTACAAACACAGCAAGCAGAGTCCGGTAGTCAGCCACTCGGACTAGAGAAGCGAGGAACGCCTTTCCTCCTGGCTACAGCCAACGATATACCAGCACAGGTCTGGCCTCTAGCCAATCGCGGCTAGGACCAACATGAGGATTCCATACGCATGACATGACTTGGGGCATTTTCGGCTGCTGGGACAGGCACGCTGGCGCCAGCCTATCCAAACGAGAAAGCAATCCTGGAGAGCAAGTCCTCGAAGCTTGCTATGACACAGCTACGACGAGACGAGCTGAGAGACGCGAGCTTGCAAAATGCTTCCTGGGTGTAGGGTTTCAAAGTTGAAAGAGAAAGCGCCAAGGTCGAATATTGCATAAAGAAAAGAGACAACTGCTAAAATAATTTTTGATTGAAAGGACCACTGTTGTTGCTGTTGTTGTTGTTATTGTTGTTGTTCGGTTCAGAAATAGAAAAGGGGAGAGGGCAGTTGCGACCTACCACAGAGTAAAGGTACTTAGACCGCAGTTTGATGTAACATTTCGACGGATGATCCGAGCAGTGACGAGTATTCTTAGCCAAGCAAGAGCTTCATCTTTTCTCCTTCATGTGTCTTGTCTCAAAAACGAGCACGACACTATAACCGGTACTCACAGACGCGCTGGCTCCGTTGGCTGATAGTTACGTCGCAAGACCGGCTAGAATCCGGCATTTCGCCTCGAGCTCAATCCAAACATATCCATCCTCCCCTTTCTTTTCCATCTTTTCTTTTCTTTTCTTTTCTTTCCTTCCCTTCCATTCCCTCTCGTCCCCGAGGCCCAACGCGACTGGAGCACGACTGCCTGGATGACTGCTCTCTACTCATTATCATGAACACTGCTCTCGTCGCTGGCTGATGCAACTCAAATTCTCGGCTCGATTGCATCATTCGCTCGTTCGTTCGTTCGTTCGTTGGTTCGTTCGTTCGTTCGTCCGCCCAATAAATTCCGTACCTTTATCTCTGAGACTCCTCGTGTGATCTGCGACTCAAGCAAAGCAAACGAGCAAGCAACAACCTTTCCTACGCTGGGCCTTGGCGAGTCGACCCTCCACTTTACCACACGGCGTTCGTGCCCTGCATCACCTCAGGTCAAGGTTAAGGTCAAGGTCAAGGTCAAGGTCGATTCTGAGTCGGATCTACGTCTTCCCCAGCTACAGCGACTACGGAGTATCCTTCTTCCCTAGCAATAGCGACCCGTCCTTCTCATCCTTTATTCAATCGCCGCGCCTTTCCCGTCAGCTTCTCCTTCTCGATGTTCAGTTGATCCCGCATTTGTGGATCGGGAGCTTGCACTATGGGAAACAACAGCACGAAAGAGACGCGAGGCCTCGACTCGTCTTCTACTCCAAATCTTCGGCAGACAGATTCAGGCGGAGCGGGACCAGCATCTTCCGGAGAAAGGCCAGCTCCTGCTCATTCTTCGCGCGCCCATAGAGATAGAGGGACTCGGCCGGATCTCTCATTCCTAGGATTTGGAACAAGTGCTCAGCAGGACATCCAAGAGCGACGCGAGACCAAGCAGGAAAGGGAGGCCAGGAAGCTGGAGAAAGAAAGAGTGGCCAGAGTCAAGCAGAGGGAGAGAAGTCTGAAGGAGGAGCATATCGATGGCGGATACCTTGTGACGATGGGTGTATACACGGGGCCCGAGGACTTCAACAAAGAGGTAGTGAGGCAGTTGATGGTATGTGGTGAACGTGCTATCGGCTTCGATATGGGCTAATTATTAGTAGATCGAAAGACGGATGGCACCGTTCTGGCGAGGCTTGGATGACTTCAAAGAGGAGTGGACAGAACATCAATTAATCGCTGCTGGTAGAGGTCTTCCCATTCCTGCCGCGGATGAGATACCTCCAGAAGATCTTCCGATATCCTCTCGTTCACAAGCAGCTGCCTCCGATTATCCCGCCATGCTTTCCCCGTTGCCTCCAGCGTTGTCAAACTCTTCTACACCCAGTGCAGCTTTCTCATCATCCGCCCCTACCACTTCATCACCCTTCCGCCCTCGATCCAAGACCCTGGCTTCCCTTACAAACGCTTCGAAGAATATATCCTCTTCAGAAATCACCCCTCGGGAGGTACAGCTTCAGCCAGATCCATACGTGAACGGACAGGCCATCGAAGTTTATCTGTACAAGGATTCTACAGAGTGTCCGATCTGCTTCATGTACTATCCACCGTATTTGAACAAGACAAGATGCTGTGATCAACCCATATGCTCAGAGTGCTTCGTGCAAATCAAGAGACCTGATCCGCACCCTCCCGAGCACCACGACCCCTCAAATCCAGCTCCTCCAACAACAGAGCTCAATGTGGATCCGGAGGCTTTAGTTTCAGAACCAGCGTGCTGTCCGTACTGCCAGCAACCCGAATTTGGCGTTACGTATGAGCCGCCACCGTTCAGAAGAGGTCTTTCATATGCAAATGCACACAATGTCGCCTTATCAACGTCCTCTAGATCCATCAACCCTGCAGGGGCAAGCACGGGAACCCTGCCAGCTGCTAACAAACGCAGAACTATATCAATTTCAGCAAACGCCTCGACGGTGATTACAACCGATAAGGTGCGACCAGATTGGTGTATTAAATTACAGAGCGCTAGAAGTCACTTGGCGCGGCGGGCAGCACAAGCAACTGCTATGCACACTGCAGCTTATCACCCGGGAAGTGGGAATGCTCCCGAACAGAGAGGTTTTGTTTTCGGTGGACGGCCTCGATTTGGTAGAAGTCGGAATGAAAGTAGTCCTGGAGCAAGTGGGGCAGCAACCCCTTCGCCAACAGCCAATGAACCTGCCGCCCGAAGTTTGTCTGATCAACACCAGCTGGCGAGAAGAGAAGCTCAAGAATCTGGGGGGGCTCGGCACCGCAGTAGGATGGAGGAACTTGAGGATATGATGATGATGGAAGCCATCCGGCAAAGTCTAGCGGCCGAGGAAGAGAGGAAGAAGAAGTTGGAGAAGGAGGCAGCTAAAGAGGCAAAGAAGAAAGCCAAAGAGGATAAGAAGAAGGAAAAGAGGGAGTCTAAGAGAGTGTACGGAAGTGGTACTAGCTCAGCAAGTGCCAGCGCTCTAAGTCTATCTTTGCCGAGCTTAAGTATCGGAAGACGGAGGACCAACAGTGGTGCGGGCAATCTGCAGAGGGTTGTCACACTGGGTAGTCCGGAATCGCCGGAACCAAAAGGAAAGGGTATCGACCGTGGAGATAGAATTGGAGGATCTGCACCTGTCGATTTACCACGGGCAGGAAGTAGCTCAAGTCACGGTATTCCTGGGGCTCGCCATGTCGATACAACCACTCTTTCAGCCATCGACTCCCGTCGCTCCTCAGCTTCGCCTACAACTTCTCCTACAGCTCCAGAAAAACCTTCCCATCTTCGCCAAATGAGTAACGCCTCTAGTCCTGCCTCGTCCTCTGTTGAGTGGGCTCCTGGTAGTCTTCGCAATGACCCACACACACACGGTTCTTCTTCGACCCTTGACTCGTCCAATCCGTCCGGATCCAACCTTGCCGCTGGTAGCTCAGATGGCGGTGATGTTGGTACAGAATCACTTTCCAACTTTCATAGCCTGGCAACAATGGTTAGCGCAGACAGCAAAGAAGACCAAGAAGATGCCACCAAGCACATCGAGCACCTGTGCGAGGATGGTTTGAAGCAAAATACACCTGATGAGCAGCCAGACACGACTACGATAGAGGAAAGTGTTGCCACTTTGAAAGCTGATGATTCGATAGCTGCCAATATTGGAGCAATTAACCAAACATAAATTGCTACAGCAGAAGTGATGTTATACCCTGAGACTCCACTCCAGCAGCCGTCAATCACGAAGATGATGACGGGAAGCAATTAGGCCATTGAACTACTACTTCATAGGCAGTTACGAGAGAAATAATGCAGTGATGGGGTGGAGAAATGGGGAAGCCATTTATGAAACATAATTCCACGATTGCATGGATGGACTGATTGACGGGTTTACAGCTTGCATCCTGTACTTATTTGGCGTTGGGGATTGCGGAATAGGCGGGGGTCAGTAGGCATTTCCATACGGTGGGCTGGCGTAAGGCTGGCTTCTTCATTTGCATCTGCATGGCTGCTTTCGCCCCGGTGTGTGATTTGTGTATGGTTAGGAATAGACGACGAAGATTCATAACTCATAAATTGAGATACTCCACACCCGGTATTTCAAAGTCTTTTCTTTCTACTGCATGCGAAAGTGCTGCTTAGATTTCCGGCCAGTGCATGATAAGAGTATACGTTTCAACACACTGTTGGAAGTGCTAGTGCTCTCCGGCTTACATGCTTCTATCCAACCCGGTGTGGCTCGTACACTTTGAGTTTGCGCAACATCAGCTCCTACACTTACTACGAGATGACTCGAGGTCACCTCTCTCAAAGATACCTAGTGATCCATAGAGCCTCATAAACTTCGATCAGAGGGTAAACCTCCAGCCCTTGTAGTTCGATCCCCATAATGGCCATGCTTATGTTGACCACGGATCCGCTATCCAAGGCCTAGCTTTGAGCATCTATGACCAACGGCCTCCAGACTCACGGATTCTCCCCCAGCCAACACCGGGGTCGAGTCTCCAGTTCCATCACCCTGGCGTAACGCTCTTGTGGGAGAAATCCCCAAAGCCCGTCATCAAATACATGGCAAGATACCCAAGACACCTCACGACCTGCCTACCGGCACATAACTCGCCCCACTGGCTTCCTCACGCATCACCTGGCCCCTCTCGGCAATTTTCCTCACGGCGGCCCAGACCAGCAGGCCCAGCGTCCCGGCGATGAACGTCAATACCACAATCTGGTCTTTCCTGCTGTCCCGCTGGAAGCAGGTGGTCAGGACATCCTTCTCCTCGGCATCTTTGCAGATGGGGAGGCGCTGCGAGAGACAGAAGGCTTTGTTGCAGGTTGCGCAGCCGACGGAGGCCGCGCGAGGGGGTTTATCAGGAGAGGTGCTGCGGGTGGTTGAGTGGGAGGAGAGCGGGATGATGGTGCTGTTTGAGAAGCAGGTGCATTTGCAGAAAGAGGGCGGAGCTGGGTGGGTGTTAGTTCTAGCTGAAACGGTCTTTGTGGAAGGTAAAGAGGGCACTTACAGGCTGCTGTTGTTGATGCGATGAACATCAAGAATGTAAGGAGGATGATGAGGCGCTTCATGATTTCGATGGAGCTCTAGAGCTTCGTATCATATATCGATTTCCGTGAGGTTTGATATGTTGAATATGCAGTATATTGTGATCTTCGCTCGTATGATGCGATCACATCATATTTCCTGAAGGGTGCGTTGTGCTTGCGACATTGGTTGGAACTGATGCTGTTGATGTCGGCCTCACCTGTTCCTCCACAAACCACGCTAGCGGGGATCCACCCGACTTCCATCTCAAAAAGTCCTTGGAGCTTCGTGCCAATTCGCAGACCACACCTCAACATCACAACCATGCGACGAATATCACGATCCCACCGGTCAATTGACCTGCTACGTACACGAGCCACTGCGAATTTATCACCATCGTCGACGTACCTGTGCGCGGCGTGCAGAAACCATGCCGCCCCTTTCTCAACATCCATGTCCCGGACCGCAAGAGACAAAATACCGATGAGCGAGAAGCTGCGCCGCAGAATATGGGGTACCGACTCGCCGCCTGGACTGAAGGACCCGTATGGCGACCAAAGTGTGTTCGACCAGACGAAGCAGCGAGAGCGCGAGCAGGAAATTGAGGACGCGAAGGAAGAACGAGCCACCCAGCTCGCAGCCATCGAGGCCCAGAGACGGCAACGAGAGACAGTTGCGGATCTGGACACGAGCGGGTACGAGCCCGCGACTACATGGGACGGACTGGAGGAGGTGGGAGGCCCGCTAAGGGATCCGAGGGATTGGGAGGGCGAGTATACCTCTATTGCGTTTGCTCCGCGGGAGGTGATGGTGGATAGCGAGGAGATCACGGCGGCGCTGCATAGGGCTATGGTTGAGGTTTTTGCATTGCAGGAGGCGGGGGTGCCGCTGAGCAGTATCTCGACGGAGCAGCCTGGACAGGACCTAACAATGGACGTTACGTTTGGGGAGGACGCGAAGCTGCAGTTTGCGGAAAATGCTCCCAGTTTGGAGGATATCGTGCAGTCGCTAGCGCCTGTCGTGGATGAGACTATTGAGAAGATGGATCCAACGGAATCGGAAGAGGATGTGGCGGCTGATCGGTCGGATGTTGATCCTTTGCACCCTGACGCTGAGGAGTATGTTGTTGAAGAGACGGCCGAGGAGGCGGAGCCTACTGAGAGCGAGGAGGATGTTGCTGCGGACCGCTCGACTGAGGATCCGCTCCAAGCCCAGGCTGATTCGGTTGAGATTACGTTTGAGGATCTCATTGCGTCTTGGGGCCCAGCATGGCTTCAGGTTTCCATCGAGAACCCTGAAGTCAAGTTCGCCGTAAGCTCTTTTCCCCTTTTCAGACTCCCAGAACATTTATTGATGTAAACCAGGTCCATAAGCGCATGATGCAAATCACCGGCCTCCGTATCCCCGACGCTCATCTCAAAGCACAAACCCCGCACCAACTTCTCAAGCACCTTGTCAAGGCCCCCAAGCCACGCAAGCTTGTCGAGGCGCTCAGTCAGAAGGAGGACCTCGTGACTCTTCCGAACGTTGCTATCTACGGCAAGAGGATCACACCGATTGACAAGCAGCGGAGTTTGGGCCGGTGGAAGATTATCGAGAAGGAGCTGGAGGCAAGAGGCTTGCCAGTCACTGGGCACTAGGGGACGGGGTGGGACTGTTCTGAGAAGAGAGGTATCCTTTATGTATACTTTGCTGGAGAGATCTTGGCCGCTGTAGAAACTCTGAAAAAATGTACTCTTCTAATGATACGGATTCGATATTTGGTTTGGGCCTTTGAAATGTGGGGGTGTATGTATGTATAGGTGATGCGGCACCATGTGATTGAATATTCTGTTTGATGTTATGATCTTCTTTCTCTCTCTCTCTCTCTCTCTCTCTTCCAATTCCCTTCTCCACGCTATAGAATATAAGTAATTGAATTAAACCAAGCCAAACCAGAACGCAAAACAGCAAACTCCCAACGTTTTCTTTTTTCTTTCTCTCTTCTTTTCTTTTTCCCTTGGGAGATCCTGAGCTGCCCTCTGCCCTCTGCCCTGCCCCTATAATCACAACTTAACTTTTTTTTAGCGAGCGAGCAAAGCGCCGAAATAAGCGGGTTCAATGTCACATCCATACCTTACCGTACTTGTACTTTTTTTAATACTTGAAGTTATGTGTACCTACCTCCTTTCTTGGGGGGAAACTTGATATGAGGTGAGATGGTATGAGATGGGGTAGGCTGAGATGGGCTGATGAAATGAGGTATGATGAAGGTGGGAGGGAAGGTGGAGGTAGAGGTAGATCGAATTATGTTGTGTATATAGCGTTGGTTGGTGTACCTACAGGAGCAGAATGGTCTGTGCCAGGTGTGATTTTTCCTTTTTGGTGTGGATTGGATTTTTTATATTCTATTGTGGAGATGTTGGTGTTGCTGCTGTGGTGGCGGCTGGGTTGCTGCTATTGCTGCTATTGCTGCTATTGCTGCTACTGCTGCTACTGCTGCTACTGCTGCTACTGCTGCTACTGCTGCTACTGCTGCTACTGCTGCTACTGCTGCTGCGGCTGCTATTGCATTGTATTTCAAACCGCACTACACTACTCACTTGCTCTCTTGCTTGCTGTTACCATTCTATCTCCTTCACGCCGTTGCTATTTACCTTACCTTACTTACTTACATACCTACCTGTAATCCGAAACAAGCAAGCAAGATCGCAAGACCGCAAGACCACAAGACCGCAAGCAAAGTAACAAAAACCTTCATCTTAAAAATTCGAGTCCGTCCTATCCTAAACGTAATCACATATTCTCTTTTACAATATTTGCCTTTTTCTTCTCTCTCTTGTCCTACTCGTTTCTGGCTTTGTGTTTGTACGTCACATATATCATATCGGCATGTCAAGTTATGTTGTATAAGTCGGTTCACGATCTAAGATTAATTGCTATTGCTATTGCCATTGCTTTTATCATTCTGTAAGAGGGTGGGTGTAAGCGTGAGCGTGACTGTGAATATGCGTGTGCGTGTAAGTGTGAGAGAGTGGTAGCAAACGACATAGGTAGGCAGCCAGCCGGTAAGGGGTAAGAGAGCTGAACCGCGTGGCTATTCTTATATACATACATACAGTCCACTCATCCATCTATCCATTCACACCAACATACACCCCCATCTTATCTCCCCAAACAGCGTGATACCTCCAGCCTGCAAAGCACCTATTCTGATTCCCCTTTTTTGCATTCTTATTCAAAAGCCATAACCAGTAGCAGACAAATCCAATCACCAGCCAGCCAGCCAGCCTCACTGGCGGAGTCAAAAGCGGAAGCAGAACAGGTACCGACCGGCTAGTGAGTATTTATATATAGACTAGGTAGGTAGATAGATAGATAGATATCCTACGAACTTGCCACTTACTTACTCTTTTGCCTTTCTGTATTCTGGACTCTTTCTTCAACTCTCGATCTCAGACTCAGACTCGGAGCTGAACCCGAACACGAAGAATACAAATACGAATAAAAGGAGACACAAACAGACAATTTCCTCCTCTTCCTCCTCCTCCTCCTCCTCCAATAACGACAACAAGCCTCCCCCTCTCCCTTGTTCAATCAAGTCCAATCCACTCCAGTCCAGTCCGTGTACTTTCTTTCTCCTTCTCTCTCCTCATCAATATCAACTCATCTACGACAGCATCTTTCAATGCCGCCAAGACGCAAATAAGCGATGGATAGGCAGATCCCCTCTTCCTCCAAAGTCCCACAGAGCAACAGAGCCTCTTCCCAAGATCCGCGATTCTCAGATACCAAGTCGGTCAGCACAACCCACCCTGAAACCAAGTCGAAAACCGCAAAGGAAATCACCAATATCAAGCAGTACGTGGCTTCCGCTTCGCCAGTCAGCAACCCTAACACTGCGGGCCCCAATTACTCCCCCATCGCTGGTCCAGCAAAACTGAAGACCGACTTCTACGGCTCATACTCCGGGACTCCTCCTCCGGATCACCTTGCCGCCCTCAAATCCAACCAAAGACGCCCCCATCCTCCGGATCACCTTGCCGCCCTCAAATCCAACCAAAGACGCCCCCATCCTCCGGATCACCTCGCCGCCCTCAAATCCAACCAAAGACGCCCCGATCCTCGAAACCAGGATCCAAGTCGGAGTAGAAGTGAAGACCAAGCTCAAGAAGATGGTGACTCCAGTCCACGACAAACCTCCTATCCAGCTCTCGACGACGAACACGCTACAATCGAAGACTTCGGTTTCCTGCCCACCATCACGCCCGCTATCAAAAAGAGGCTGGCAGGGGGCTGGACCGGTTTCGAGGAGGTGAAAGAGATGGATGATGGGATTGACTTTTCCAAGCCCGAGGTTGGTGGTAGAAGGCATGAAGCTGTCGCGAGAACTAGACCACCGAAGGGCAATTAGTAGGAGGAGGACATGTTCAAAATTACTCCACATCCTGGACCTTGCGGTGCGATGGGAATCCTGGAGGAAAAGAAGGCCCGTTGAAGGGTTTGCCGGTTGGGGTGACATTTGAATAGAGCCATGGCTAGGAAAATAAGCGATCCTTTCCCGTGTCGGATGACGAAAATGTGTTGAGAATCTTCGTGGTGATGAGTGAATGAAGAGAAGATAGATACATGGATCCCAGAGGGGCGACGTCGCAGGACGTAGCATGGAAAATGAAAGTAATTTTGTATACTAGACGACGAGCAGTGGAGCAGACGAGGTTGTAAGACACGGAAGCGAACGGATGGAATAGAGCAATGCAAGCGACATCGGTATGGGGTAAATTATTGAACTTCTGATGCACGACATGAGTAAGCCCCATGTGATGAATATAGTCGGATGACAAGTTGTGTCGTTACTTGAGAGAGCCGGCCAAGGTAGAATTCAACATATCATAATGCTGTATATCCTGAACGCAGCCGGTGACTTATCAAATAGTCGGCTGAAGTTGAGTTCAATCCGTCCCAATTTGGTGCCCAAATTCCAAGTCACTGCTCCTATTTAAGCAGGCGCCATGCCCTTCCAGTACTTGCTCGGCACAAAGGGCATCTTCGTGACCTTCGCTTTGCGATTCTTGCCTCGGACGACAACTCCCACATCGGTGCCAGACTTGTGGAAGCCATCCTTGATATAACCCATCGCCACATTCTTTCCCAGAGTCGGACTGGGGCATCCACTAGTGATATTGCCGATTTTCTCCCCCTTGTCATTGACAATATCAGCACCTTCTCTTGCCGGGGCTCCTTCGACGATCAAGCCGATTCTCCTTCTCTCAACACCACTCCCGCCTTTGCTCTTTGGTGTCAATTGCTTCAGAATGACATCTGACCCGTGGAACCCACCGCTGGTCTTTCGGTCCTTGCCAATGATCCAGCCAAGAGCGCCTTCGACTGGCGTGGTTGAATCATCCAGATCATGGCCGTAGAGACACATGCCAGCCTCTAACCTCAGACTGTCTCTCGCTCCCAAGCCAGCAAGCTGGAGTTGTTCTGGACCAGCACTCTGCAGCAGGGTCTCGGTAACAACTACGGCCTCAGACTCCGGAATAGAAATTTCAAATCCATCTTCTCCGGTATATCCAGCTCGGCTAACCAATAGCGGGCTCGATGTCTCTCCGTTGTGCAGCTTAATCTTAATGAACTTGCTGGATCCAAAGTACATCCCCTTCAACTCACTCTCCGCAGGCTCGACCATCACACGGCCCAGGATATCCGCGCTTAAGGGTCCTTGCAAAGCAACCAATCCCCATTTCTCCAGTACCTCCCATTCGACACTCGCGCCTCCCTCCTTGATGAAAGCGTCTAATTGCTCTTGGAGATACTTCAGGTCCTTTTCTCTACACCCAGCGTTTGTTACGACGTAGAAGAGTTCCGGACCCAGCCTGGTCAAGATCGTGTCGTCTACGATTCCTCCCGTTACAGGCCAAAGCAATGTGCTTAATGTGCTCTGATGTATCTCCAGCCCAGCAATCCCCGCAGGGGTGATGCGCTCGAGGAAAGCATTCACGCCAGGTCCTGTGAATCGGTGTTGCACCATGTGACTAACATCGAAGAGGGAAGCGTGCGAGCGTGTGAAGTGGTGGGAGGCGCTGACGCTGAGCGATGCATATTGTACGGGCATGTGGAAACCGCCGAAGCCAACCATATTTCCACCATGTGCGAGGTGCAGGTCATAGAGGGGAGTCTTTTGAAGAACCTCATTGCTGGGAGCGGAGGCATAGTGACGTTTGCTTTGGATGGGAGGAGAGAGGGCGGAGGTTCGTAGAGATGGGACGACGGTGTGAGATCTGGATGGAGGGGTTATGTGGTGTAGTGTCGAGAGAGCGCGCGAGCTTCGATATGCGGTGCGCTGGACGAATACCGCGTCGCTGATACTTGGTATAGCCTTAAGACGCTTCATAGTGGGTCAATTGAGGGTTGTTTAGTGTTGTATGGTGTTGTTATGGTGGTGTTGTGGTGGTTTGGTGAGATAGGTTTGATGTAGTGATCCTTCAAATGGAAAAATTAACTGACATGCGCGCCCTCTCGGCTACGATAAGCTACGATAGCCACATGGATAAGAAGGGGATTTTCCGCACGACTGACTTGTCTTGAGCATTGCGGAAAGGTTGCGACCATTCGTTCAACTGATGATCGATAGCAGTGACGGCCTTTGCCTTTAGATGTGTCTGTATCTTTTCAGGCTATACAATAGACGATTGGTGATACAGGAACGATTGGCCTTGCTGGCCCATATCCACATCCATCCTCGTCAAAGCAGACCACGACCACGGCCACGACTTTCCTGCCGAGCCCACACCGACATACTGGCAGAGCATTCGGATACAACACGTATAAAACGAAGAAGAGAAGTCGGGAATATCAAAGTTATCTCATGTCATATGATACTTATGTCATATGATACTTATATCATATTATTCTCATATATTATACTCACATATTATATGATATCATATCATATAATAGTCAGCGCACTGACTATTAGTTACCATAAAATCATATAGTACTTGCGCACGGACACGAAGCAAATCGCCTCGGCTCGACACCAGGTTGCCCCGTCCACTATCGCGCGATTGGCGATGGGCAAAGTCAACACAGCAAAGGCACCAACCACATCACCACCGCAAAACTTACCTGCATCTATCTGCATGAGACCTGCCTGCATACCTCATTCCCCCATTGACTGATGACACGCCGACATCAAAAGCACACTACCAAAATTTGATCATTCATCCAGGTCGGTTGTATTCCAGAAAAGCTGACTAACCACTGGCACTGCTGAGTGAGTGGTTGGGCGTTGCGCAAGAGCTTTTTTTTTTTTAATAGGAGGCTGGCCGGCCACGGCCATTTCATCAACCATCCTCTTTTAAGTCTCCCACCCAAAGTTCCCTCAGCTTCTCTTCATCCATTCCACACACACAAACACAAATTCCAAAACATCTCTAACGCGGGCCATCGTGCGCCATCGCTCGTTCGAGCCTCGATTGGCAAATAGGTTGGAGATACACACACACACCGAGATAAACAGACACGCTCGCTTGTTGCGTCAGAGACAGACGCCCTTTCACCACCACCCCGCCAGACATCGAGCGCTGCGAGTCTCGGTCACTGATTTTGGCTCCGAGTCTGCAGAAACTCATTCCACAGCACGCATCCGACAACTCCAACCGAAACAATGCGACTCTCACAGACTCCCCCGAGTCTTCTCTCGCTTCTCTTCTTGGCCCTTGCGCAAACCGACACGGCCGACGCAGGACCCTTTGCCAGAGACTTCCTCCATGATCTCGGCTTTGGATTCTTGCAGCCGAGGGAATGCGTCGCCTACTGCGGGACTGACAATCAGTACTGCTGTACAGCGGGTCAGGCCTGCTATACAAATGCCGGCATAGCGGGCTGCACAGCGACACCTCATGCTCCCGTGCAAGGAGCTGGAGGATTCGTAGTCTACACTACAACCTGGACCGAGACGGATCTGGTCACCAAGACATCAACAATCAGCTACGGATGGGCAGACCCTACGCCCCCAGCTTGGGTGCCGCCAGCCGTCATAACCCCGGCTATCTGCACCCCCAGCCTCGGCCAATCCTCCTGCGGAGCCATCTGCTGCGCTTCCGATCAAAGATGTGCACCCCAAGGAAACACATGCACACCGTACTCCTCGACTTACACGGGAACACCGACCCTCTACTCGGCCCCTACTCGCCCCACCAGCGGCGACTTAACTGCAATATTGACCGCCTCGGTGACAGCAACCGTACCATTCATCCCCGCGGCCACCGCCAGCGGCAGCGCGTTCCCAATAGCATCTAATAGCGACGATGGCTTGAGCGCCGGCGCAATCGTAGGAATCGTCATTGGAGTCATAGCAGGCATCATCCTGCTTCTGCTCCTCTGCTTCTGCTGTTGCGTGAAGGCCGGACTTGACGGCGTCCTCGCCATCTTCGGACTTGGCGGCAAGAGGAAGCGCAGATCCACCGACCGCATAACGGTCGAAGAGTACGGCCGCCGCCACTCCAGCGGCACCGCGGCTCGTCGAGACACGCACTCGAGCTGGTTCGGTGCCGGCCGCAGACCCGCGAAGGTCACGGAGAAGAGGAAGAAGGACAGCGGGCTCGGCGGCATGGGAATGGTCGGCGCCGGACTCCTGGGCCTGGCGGCCGTTCTCGGGCTGAAACGCAAGAACGACAGAAGGGAGAGTCGGAGTTCGAGGACGGACTACAGTAGTACCTACTACACCGATTCCTACACGGGAACTAGCGCGAGTAGGTCACCCTCCTCCTCCTCCCCCCGCTGATTTGACAAATCAAATGTCAAAAATACTAACGAATATCCACAGGCAGTGCAAGTTCAGACCGGAGAACGCGCGAGTCTCGGGGGACGAGAGGCACGAGAGGCACGAGAGGAACTCGCCGCTAATCCCAGACGCAGCGAGCTAAATGAAAGGGTGAAACATAGATGAGGACTTTTGACATGCATTTGCTCTGTAATTTTTTGAAGCGAAGCGAGGGCGTTTTTTACATTTACCGACCGGTCGGAACGGACGGGAAGGAGGCCTCTTTTTGCATCTGCAAATTTTGTGTGAAGAAAAATACTAGGGACCGGCAAGACTGTGAATATTTCGGATTCGGACGATGGACGATGGACGATGGACGATGGAACGACGGACTGGGAATGGGTATAGACGGCGGCTTTTGGGGCAGCAGAAGATGAAGATATGAACATACGGGACGAGATGCGTGGCCCGACTTTTCGATGCTGTAAATGTAGCCAGCTAGCTAGCATACGGGCGGGTTACGTATGTGTGTGTAATTGGAGAATCGAAATACGAAGTATACGGAGTACATATGTGTGTGTGTCTATACGCAGAGTAGGATTCGAAATGGAACTGGATTTAATACCTCCATCTCTCTCTCGCACGCCACCTTAAACAGGGAGCGAAATTCCCTCAGAATTGAGGTGAGGGTAGATAGGTACTTATTCGAAAGTCCTCCTCCCCGAATCCTACCTTAGCTAGCCGGCCCCCTGCCTGCCTTAGGAGGAGGATATTCTCACCGCCGTTGCACATGCGTGGAAGTCGAGATGATTGTTATCTGATTTCTGGTCTGGTCTGATCTAGCCTGGCCTGGTCTGATTTGGTTTGACATCTGGTTTAAGTATCACGACATCGTGGTGTCGTGTTGTGTTGCGTTGCGTTGCGTTCTGATCTCCAGTATTGCGACTGGGGGGTATCAACCTCAACTCCAAGCTCAACCTCACTTTCAAAATCAATCGAAATCGAAATCGAAATCGAAATCAAATCCAGCCAATTTACATTTTCAATTTTTTTCCTCTCCGGGCTGGGTGGGTTGAGGAGCCTGGAAAGGGAAAAGGAGAGCGATGATGCCAAAAACAGAAAGCAGAAAACGATATTGAACAGCAGGCAGGCAAGCAGGCCTAGTTTTACTAGTACCTACGTACCTACGTACCACGAAAGCGAGTGCAGGTAAGTGAGTAGAAAGTGAGTGCATAAGTAATAAGTGAACAAGTGAGGAGGGACCCCTAGATTAAACCCTCTATTCCTCTGGCCCGAACCAAAAGAAAAAAAAAAGAAAAAAAAAGGTAAGTTAACAAGATGACAAGACAAGACGAGATAAAACTTTTCAAGGGGATCGAGAATTGGGGCGGAAGGTGCTGAAAAGCAGGTAAGTAAGTGAGTAAGCAAGCAAGCGATCGCCGGCGTTGGGTTTGGTATATGGGTATGGATGGATATGACTTGCGCTTGCAAAACCAGATATATGATACATATAGATGTTCAACTGATGAGGCCATGTACCTATCGGATAGGCCGCGCTAGCGAGTCGGTTTTGTTTATTCTGGATAAAAACGAAACTCTACCTCTAAATAGATACACAGACGGGCGTCACCGAAAAACTTGAGATGTTTGGCGCTCTGCAGAGGGAGTGAAGGGATAGGTTCGGAGACTGCGTCGCTTCAAGCCTACCTACCTAGGTACCACACATATTTGGTATTCGGGACGAACCTCTTAAGTATTGATTGGCTGGCGGAAATATGGGCACATGGTGACCGCCGAGGTTTCTCGTTTGGTTTTTGATTTTCGCAAGATTTTTGTTCTCATTGCCCCGAGGCACCTTGCTACTTACTTACTAACAAGCAAAGTAGCGAAAAAATCCCTATGCACTCCCCCCAAACAAATTCGTCAGGTACATAGAGAATGTTGCCCCCGTGCCGTGCCGGCCCCCAATTCGGGTTCGTTCGTTCGGTTCGTTCATGCTTCTTCCTCGATATTGCCCTTCTCCGAAACGTACAGACCGTCCAGGAACTATTCATAAAATGTCAGTCAAAGCTCGCTCGTAATATCCACCCCGCTCTTTGAATCCGACAGGAGTTCGTATGCTGTATTTTATAGTTTGAAAAGGGAGCAGGTGGCTCTGTGAGGGAAACCGCTGTCCTCACCTTCCGGATATCCTTATTGCGCACTCTGCAGATTTGTTGGATATCGGCTGCGCTTTGGGAAACACCCTCCAGAGAATTGCCATACAGCTCCAGTTGGTCCTTTTGGTTGCTTGATGTCTCGACCTTGACACCGGGTTGCATGACGATTCTGCGCACAATCTTCTCACCGATGAAGTTTCTGTGTGTATTCCGTCAGCACCTCATTCTCTCTCTCTTTTTCCACCTCCCATTCCACAAAATCCATGTTTTGCATCCAAGCCCCGTCGTCCTCTGCATCCACGACATATATTCCACATACCGGATCTCGACCTCGTACAGGTCAGTCTCTTTGTTCTGGGATACGTTGACGTTGATCGGGAAATGCGCGTAGACGTATCTCATCTTGTACTTGAAGCCCTTGGTGACACCGATGATCAGGTTGTTGATGAGCGTGCGGACTGTGCGGAGGGTGGCGACGTTTTTACGGGCACCGTGGTGCAGCTCAATGTTGATGACATCCTTCTTTGGGTGAGAGAAGTTGACGGCCAGGTGGTTCAGATTCTTGGTGAGCTTTCCTGCAATATCCACATTTTTCCAATTAGCTCTTCTGCTCATCTCTCTTTACACCATATCCCATTGATCCTTCTAGGGTGTGCCTTCGTACCTCGTGGTCCTTCAACGGTGACAAGGCGAGACTTGATGGTGACCTTGACTATTCACGCAGGCTCGTCAGCAAATTGCTCTGCTCCCCTATGCGCCGGCTCGACTTGAATGCCCTCCTCAAAGTTCGTGCAGCGCTGCCGAGAGGCGTTCCACCAGGGATCGGAGGAGAATATACTCACCACCCTCGGGGACGGTCAAGGTCTCTTCGGAATGAATGTATCTCATTTTGGACCCGTGTTGTCGTGTTGGCGGGGGAAGAGGAAATGGATGGTCGTCGCTGATCAACTTTCTTGCAGCACAAATTGGCGATTGCCTGGATTGTGGGCAGCTAGTCAGTCACGTGTTGTTTTTAGCGAGCCCCACCTTACCGTCACCCGTCCTTGTGCTGCGGTCTCATTCTTCCAGAGGTCAACAGTATTGTATCATTTTTTCATTCTTCGATGCCGAGGATTTCTTTGGGAAGAGTTACGGTACATTCTTTTCAAAAGATGGAGCTTGTTTTGAAGCAAATTCTATCAATGGGGAGCTTCGAACTTCGATTGGCATGGAAGGTTGATCGAAGTCATCGCAATATCGAGAATCTGAATTTGCTTCAAGTGGTCTTTTTTTTCTTCTTCTTTCTATAAAAGAACCTCATCAATTGAGCTCGACCATGATTAACTGGCGATCATCCAAGCGAAGCTTTTTTTTTTTTTTCATGGCCTAGTTCGTAGCTTTTCAAACCTCTCTATCGGCGTAGCTCTTCACCATACCCTCGAGACTAGGCTCATATTCCACCAACGAAACCTTTCCCGTCGCCTCATCTAAAACCGTGTTGGCTTGAACGAACACCTTTCTTGGCTGCTTGTTTCTCAGAACTTCATTTCTGATAGTCTTGCCCCAGAACTCAGGCTCCACCTCGGTCATCTCAGCATAGAGGTTGGTACCAGCCTCTTTATCAGCAACCGACTTGTAGATGTGGAGCTTTTGGAGGTACGACTCGACAGCCTTCCGTCCAACAGTTGTTATCTTACTTCGGTCAATCTTGATTGTAAGATCAGAGAGGTCCTCATTCTTGTAGTCCAGCTTGCAGAAGTTATCTGGAGCAGCAAGGAAACACTTCAGAATGCTGTAGCGGGCTTGAGAATGGGCTGTCGTGGTGTTAGCATATTTCTTGCACAGAACGTGCGAGAACGCATACCTTGTCCCCATTTTCTAGAGGCAGGGTCCCACATCTCAAGGGAGGCAACTCCGGCGCGTGCCATAGACAGGTAGGATGCATAAAGCACATCTCCAGCGTCGCCGTCCATATTAGGCGTTCCATCTCCGAAGCCAAAGATTTTCAGAATCTCAAAGTCACAGCTCAACGCCATGGCAACACACTCGGCTCTGCACTCTTCGTAACTTGAAGCAACACTACCGAATACTGAGCCCCAGGTCTGGCCAGGCTTGTAATAAGTGGTGACGGGCCTGTTCGTTATAGGGCTGATAGGAGGGTTTTTTGGATCAAAGTTGAACTTTCCTGGTTCGGTCTCTTGCAGAAGCTTACCGGTGCCGTGGCCAAGAAGTTCATGGATGCCAACCTGCACCTCGAAAGCTGCATCACTGTACTTTTGATAGATTGGGAGATCGGCCTCAGAGATGAATGGAATCTTCTCATTGGGGGCCTTGGCGCTGAGAACATTACCCAAGCTGACGTTTTTGAATCCCTCTGATTGTCTGATATCGTCGTAGTTTGGCTGTCCCGTGAATCAGTAGGGCTCAACTGGAACCTGGAAAATGAAACAGTGGCGAAGATGGAGCGGAAGGAAGGAAATCTTACAATATTGATGCCCGCAGGGATGCCTGAGCCAGCAAATGACAATACTTCCAAACTAGTGAAATCGGGGCTCAGGAACTTGTCCTTTTCGAATTCCGCCGACCATGGAAGCTTGGGGATCATTGCTTCAGCGGCATCGACTAGGGAGCCGAATGCTCTTGTACGCTCCAAGTTGACGGTAGCGGCAAAACCTACAGGTCGATTAGCGAACTGACCATCAACAAAGAAATTCAGCTCCTACCTTCCCACTCTCCACGTACACCATGAGGATCTCGATAGGTCTCAACGAAGCCGATGTTAGATTCGACCATCGGGCCCTTGTCTCTGATCCAGTATCTTTGGGAGTCCTTATAAGCTTCAAGCGATCCTTCCTCGAACGACTTGGCATAAGCGAGTTGCATCTTTTTCTGATTATCGTTGGCAGAATTCTCTGCCGCCTTCTTGTGAAGTGCGGCAATTAGCCCCATCTCCTTTGAGTCTGTCACATGAGGGTCAGCATTTGAATGGAAAAATCATTTCCCGTAAAAGTGACTAGTGTAAGGGAAAATCGCCGGAACCTACGGTCACCATATATCAGCGTCAACTTCTTGCCCTTCAGAGATCCGCTGTCGATCTCAAACTCTGTGTTCTTGCCGACATCTCCACCTGCTTCAGGAACTTGGGTTACTGCTGATGCTATCAACAAGTCAAAGTTTCCGTCTGTCTTCTTTCTGAGGCGAGTGTTTTCCTAAGTAGTGGTCAGTACCAGATCATGTCTAGGCGTGTTATGGGACGTTCAAACCCACCACCAGAAGTCCTATCTTCTCCATGTAGTCTGAAACCGCAGCAATGTCCGCTTTTGTGATTCCTTTCGAGTCTGGATAATACGTAGTCATGTGGCCTTCATCAAGGTATCTAAAGACTGTCAGTAAGCCCCTACTACATCGAGCTGCAACTCACCCTAGATGCATAATCCCCTCCTTATTGCTAGAGAATATAGCACCCTTTGTCGCCTTGTAGTGCACCCCAGCTTTGGGTGCCGCAGCAGCTAAGTTATCGAATGCCTTCTCACTACATCTTGGTACAAATTTGACGTCTCCGAACCCCTTGTAGTTACCGCAATTGCCTAGGAATTGAGCAGCGTACTCGAGGAATTGCTGAAGCTCTTCAGCAGAAATTCCAGCCTTCTCTTGAAGGGCTTTCCAGTCACCATTCGAGGCCTTGTATAGCTCGACAATGAAGTCAAAGATGCTCTCAGATTCCGGGGAGACCTGGCGGAGGGTGATACGAGTCCCGGTGAAGGCAGCCCTATGATGAGATGAATTCAGCTTTTGGTCTACAGTCATAAGGTACATGTTTTTAGGGGTTTTGGTACGAGAGAAGCTCTAAGCTAGAGTGGTCTGCCATACCTGCTGATAAAGTGCGCATAGCGAGCCTGTTGGTCAGTCAGAGCATCGAAATGCTTTTTAATCTCGAGCTTGACAGTGCTCGGGGGCGAGTCTGCCAGGAAGTTCTTAATTTCAGTCGCGTCCATGGTGATGTGCCTTTGGATGCTTGAGAGTCTATTGAAAGGAGAGGAAGATGGGAGCATTGCACGCTTGACGATACTCATGGAATGCTTATTATGATTATATGCACGAGAAGCAATCGCGGGGTTCCCCCGCCCCGCTAAGGCAAGGCTGAGAATCGAAACACGGGGAGGGTGCCGTGGGAAAGACAAGGCCTTCTTGTTGGCTACTGCTGCCCATTTTGACATGCTCGGATGGGATGTAGTATAGAAGGAGGTGTTCCATTATAAGAGAGAGATATGGAGATATCGCTAGGTAGACGTCTTTTCTTTCTGGAAGCGTTGCCCGGCTCGGAACAACACTCGGGCCAAGGAGGAGCCTGAGCTGGCTAGTGAGCGTCTCTTCGCCCTTCTCTGCAACAGTACGGTGCTCTAGAAACGTGCTCCAATTTACATATGTTTATTATTTGCCATTGTATTTGATCTGCTGCCCAGAGCTTGGTCTTTCAAATCATTGGCACCTTGTGATTGTCCCTTCGTTTCTGACGAATTCGTCAAATCGTTCGTTATCGGACGACCCCACTTTCATCGCCGGCTTTTACTTTGATTCTATCCTCTCTGTTCTCCTGATCCGTCTTACAAGTTCTCATATCTGCAATTAAAACCCCAGTCGTCCATATCCTGTTGGTACGCTCCTCTCTCGATTTTCTTGCAATGGCAAGCCGTCAGCCAAATCCTCCTGCCTACCCCGCTACAGACAGCGCTGTTTTGTATGGCAATAAAGAGCTCTATGCACGTATTGGCAAAATTGCTGAGCAAGAGGGGGGAAAGAGGCTAGTTGAGAAGTTCGATATTCCTATTCGAAGTGGGAAAGCCTGGGTTGTGAAGAAAGGTGTGAATCTCGCTTCCGCTTTTCTTCAACTACCAGTTTCTTCACCTGACGAGTCCAGGCCAACTCTGTGTTCTTTCCACCCCTCAAGGACCCCAAGTAGGAGACTTGAACATCTTCTCTCTGCACAATCCCCGAGAACATTTCTGGGCCTCTCGGACCCGACAGTTACACGCCTCGCACGTTTCGGTGGGTGATAGGCTGTGGTCGAATCTACCATACCTTAGACCACTAGTCACCATCGTAGCGGACAGTTTGAAAGACTATGGTGTGGATGAAGTGGGTGGCCGGTGTCATGACTTGCTTGGGACAAGGTCAGAGAAGCATTTCGTTATTGTGTAAGATTATTTCTGCTAATGCTGAGATAGGTGTGATCCTTATGGTTGGTCCTAGATATCTGCGCTGAAACATATGAGCTAAAAGAAACAGTGGACTACCTCTTGAGTGGAGACGACTTCGACTACCACTGCCACTCCAACCTCGTTCGCGCTGTGCTGCCCTATGGGCTCACTGAAGCAGACGTCCATGATGTCCTCAACGTGTTCCAAGTCACTAGACTAAATGAAGACGGAAAATACTGCATGTACGTTTTCTACCCGCTTCCGTATTTATATTGAGCTTACTTCAAATAGGGAGACTTGCCCAGCAAAGCCTGGAGAGTATTTTACGTTCTTTGCTGAGACTGATGTGTTATGTGCTTTGTCTACCTGCCCTGGTGGTGATCTTTCTGTCTACGGGTGGGGCGGAGATTCAGCTCAGAGGATGCTGGAGACCTGCCGACCGCTTGGGGTTGCTGTCTATGATATTGAGAACAAGGTTGATGTGTTGGAAGGCTGGAGGGAGAGTGAGCCTGCGAAGTATAAGGGTTTGCACGGCCTAAAGATCCCGGTATGGGGACAGTAGTAACTCGGCAAGCGAGTAGAGTAAAACAGTATTTGCCAACAGTCTGGCTCTGCTGGGAGATCAAGTGCGAGAAACATGGGCTGGACAATTTTCTCGAAAGTGCCACTACCAGCCAGCAACTTACTCTGATGAGCATGTACTACACCACCACCATAGAGTAACGGTATGGAAACCCGGAGAATCATGCGTCTTCTCTCAATATTCCACCATCATTGCCGCAATAAGATTCGTTCAGAAAAAAGAAAATTGACACAGCATCCACCTACCTTCCCCCTAATTGCGTGATCCACCAACCAATCATGCTCTTTTGCTCTCTCACTTATATTGGCGACATCACAATTCCTTTCCTTATTCAAGTTCTCTGTCATCTCCAACCATGATTTCAGTCCTCTTGTAAGTTCCTCAAAATCGCTGGCTCCAAATCGTCCCTGATCTCTCGCACTCGCAGATCTTCAAGGCCTATTTCAATGCCAGAAAGCTAGGTGTAGCTTTGATGCCCGTCTTCTTCTCAGATTCCGTACACAACCCGTCGTCAGTTCCGAAGCCTGGTCAGCCTGCTGTCGTCCCGCTCCACCCTATACAGTCTATTCTAGCGTAAGCGAGCAGATTGCGGCGGCGAGGATAGGCTCAAGTTCGAATTGGGGAAGGCCTGAGGACGAAAATGATAGGGTTGCAACGGGGAATCGAGAGGAGCGGACGGTAATTTGATGTTTTGCGAGATTTGCGGATTGACACTGCTAATGATTATTTGAGTGAGTGACTCAAGAGCGGTATTTCGAGGAGAGGATGAGGACGCTGAGACGGATGTATTTGGGCATCTTGGGCCTTTTACAGATGATGATATACTGAGGTGATATTGAGGAGCTGAGCAGGCGTTCTGGTTGTCGACAAGATACTTATCTTCCGTTATTGCCGTCCAGAATCGGGCTGCCGATGCAGACCCCACGGCTGTCGAGTGTTGGGTAAGCTTCCATCGAGATATCATGACGCTTGATAGCGGGTTGTGCATTGATCACTAAGACGAAGTGCTGTATGAGTGTACAACATGTAACACGGTGCATCTAAGGTTTCGCTCGTCCCAAGTCCAAGACACAACTCTAAGGCGCCAAGGCGGTTATGCCTTAGGAATAAACCACATCTCCTTTTATGGTGTCTTTGGCCCTGATCTGAGATCTCAGCGCGACATACAGACGGCAGAATGGGGCGAATGCAACAAAGGCGTTCGAGGGTAGCAATCGCCACGGTGGTGCTCACCTTCTTCTTGTACGGATACTGGACGCAGTCGAGTGTCCCTGGTGCTCCTGGCTCGGTCACGTGGCAATCGTACCAACCCAGCGAAGCGCAAGCAACTTTAGAAAGTCCTGCTATTAGCTCTCCAGCAACGGCATCTGATATACCACCGGCTGCGACTCCTCAAACTTCCACTCCGAGTGATGAAGCGATTACGACGCCGGTGAAGCAAGAGCCAATACCCGCGGCCTCTCCACCACGACCAGGAAAAAAACCAAAGAAAGATTGCATCGGCTACGAAGCTTTACAGCGATCGAAACCCGAACCATTATCTGAAGGATCACGCAAGTTCCCAAATTCTCGACCTGAGCCAGAATGTCGTACTTTCAATTTGCCAGAAATGGAGAGGCTCATCGAGAAGATGAAAGGACTTATCAAGGACCCCGACTTATTCAGACTATTCGAGAACACCTATCCGAACACGCTTGACACAATGATCAAGTGGCGAGGTTTCGCGAATGCTATTGAAGGCGTAGAAGACGTAATAACAGACGAGGAGCTGACCTATGTTATCACGGGTGATGTAGAGCCCCCTATCCAAGAGCACCTTTTTTTTTCGCACCTGCACTAATAGCTCCAAGATCGATGCTATGTGGTTACGGGATTCCGCATCACAGATACTGGTCTACCTACCAATTCTCGAAGCCAACTCAGACCCTAACTCGCTGGCAAGTATATGGCGAGGTCTGATCAACATACACGCTCGATATATCCAAATATCGCCTTATTGTCACAGTTTCCAGCCGCCACCAGAATCCGGTATCAGTCCTACGAAAAACGGGGCATACGCGCAAAACCATCCGAAGCCTGGTTATGATCCGAGCCTTGTCTTTGATTGTAAATGGGAGCTTGATTCGTTGGCGTCTTTTCTGCAGATATCGACTGCTTACTACGAACGTACAAAAGAGTGAGTCTTGGCTGCTGCTAGCACTCAGCCACAGGTGGTAAAATCTAGTTAACTAACATCTTCCCAGCCTGGAATTCTTCAAGAAGTACAGTTGGTTGCCCGCAGTCAAAGCTGCAGTAAATGCTGCGGGTGCGATGAGGTTAGGAACCTACTCAAAAGAGGGGAAAGTCGAGGCTTCCGCCTGGACTTTCACCGGATGGACCAATCGTGGCACCGAAACACTCAGCAATGACGGGCTTGGTAATCCCACTAAGGAGAATGGAATGGTCCGCACTGCTTTCCGACCTTCAGACGATGCCTGTATCTACCAACTTCTCGTGCCTGCCAACATGATGTGGGCTAAATATCTCGAGGAAGCCTCCCTGATCATGGAGAAGCTGGACGGTGACGAGGCGAAGAATATTACAGCGGATATGCGAGACCAGGCTTTCGGTATCCGGGAAGGGATCGATAAGGACGCGATCGTCCACCACCGCGATTTTGGCGATATCTTCGCCTATGAGATTGACGGCTATGGAGGAACAAATCTCATGGATGACGCCAATGTGCCTTCATTACTGGCAATGCCATTGTGGAACTACTCGCAGTCGGCTTTCAAGCTGCCACAGCCAGCCCCAGGAGAGAAGGCGAAGAACTACGATGAGATCTACGCCAATACCAGACGATTCGTGTTGAGTGATAGCAATCCCTACTTTATGAAAGGTCCCGTCATCTCGGCGATTGGTGGCCCTCATATTGGGCCTGGCAAAGCATGGCCTATGGCTGCAATCATTCGGGCGATGACCGCGTTCTCAACCTTGGATTCACCGGCAGCAGGCAGTCTCGACAAGATAACAATGAAAGACATCGAGGAAGAGGTGAAACAGCAGATACGCATGGTCTTAGACTCCACGGCCGGTACTGGGGTTATGCATGAGAGTGTTGATTCGTTCAACGAAAACAGTTGGACGAGAGCGTGGTTTGGATGGGCAAATGGACTGGTATGTACTGGGGGAGAATGTCTTGTCCTTCTCATATCCTCCTCCCGAGCCCTTCCTTAAGAGCCGAATGCTGACTCTCCTGTGTCCTTGTAGTTGGGTGAGCTGCTGGTCAAGGTCGCCGAGGAAGACGAGAAGGCAGGAAGGAATCCGGGCTGGCTAGCGGAAAGCTTTCAATGACCTTCCCATCGCGCTCTGTATTGAATTTTTGTACTCTAGGCGAATCTTGGCATGGGTCAGGGAGGTGGGATCCGAGACTTTTTGAGATCAACTATATATATATACACACATGTGCCAGCCAGCCAGGCCGACATCCCAACCCACCCCCGAGCCCCGTCTGCTCTCCTCCTCCAAACCGTAACCGTAATCACCCCAGCACGCTTCCACCCCGCGCGGCGGCTCCTCCATCCCAAGCGCAATTTCCCCATCTGCCTCGACTCCTCGACTCCTCGACCTACCACCGGTACGTCTTGCTCGCTCGCTCGCTCGCTCCCTGCCCTCAGACTCAGCTTCAGATGCGAGCATCGCCATCGCCTCGCGGCCCCCCCCAGCTTCGGTGAGCGGTCAACAGCCGAGGACCGGTACCGGTACTGCCAGCCCGCGAGTGCCTTTTGAGTTTTGACGCTCTAGCCTCTCACTGCCGAGCACAGGATTTTGATGATTTCTCTCTTCTCTTTCCTCTTTTCTCTCTTCTCTTTCCCTTTCCCTTTCCCTTTCTCTTCCTCTCTTTTGTCCTTTCCCTCTCCCTTTCCCTTTCCCTTTCCTCTCTCTTTTGTCCTTTCCCTCCCTTTTTTCCTTTTTTTTTTTTTTTTTTCTTTTCTGCCCGCCTCCTCCGACACTCGCGCCGCGTGTCTGTCCTATTTCTATTTCTATTTCTATTTCTATTTCTATTTCTATTTCCGTTTCTATTTCTATTTCTGTCTCTGTTTCTGTTTCTGTCGTAGGCGTAGGCGTGAGTGCCCTGGATATATCTCTCTCTCTGAAGTGGTTTTGCTGGGATGGTGGGATCTGAACGATGTGTTGCGCTGCGATGCGAAGCGATGCGATCGACGGAGACGGAGACGGAGAGAGACGGAGAGAAGAAGGAGAAGAAGGAAAATACAGCACCGTGATCCCACGGCACGAAACGGGTGGGCTGGAGGTAAACTTGTCTTGATGCCGCTGGACGGGACGGGACGGGACGGGACGGGATGGTATGGTATAGTACGGTATAGTATGCGGGAGAAAGAACTCGAGGTGGGGGGGGGATCCTCCGTTTATAAACAAGGTGTCTCTCGCTTGTGCTTGCTGGCTTGGTCGATGCCAGGCCTGTCGATGTGGTCGAGGAAGATCGGTGGCATACATACCTACCTTAGGTATCAGTAGCTCGGCGGGTGCCATGCCGTTGGAAGTGCAGACGCATCCCGAGAGCTTTGCGCCGTGCAATTACCATTTCGAGGATCTGAACTCGTTCAAGGGCGATTTGATAGCTGTGGGTTTTACTAAAGTTTATATATATATATATATATTTTTCATGATTCGTACGTATGTATACATTACATACTATGAATCCAGGGCCTGAAATTACGAGTCCTGTGCTTATGCTAGCTGATATCTCTACACACAACCATCCGTCAAAGCAGGTATCACCTCCTCGTCCACCTCCGCCACCGCCCTTCCCCCCTCGTAACCACGCAGTCGAAGGTCCGACCGAGCTTTTCCCAATGCACGAGGTGACCTCGCATCCTCCACACCCACGCGGCGTACATCACCGCACTCACCACCGTCGCCCCGAAGCTCATCATGGCGATCCACCTAAAGTCCTCCGGTCGGCTCAAGAAGATCGCGACGACGTGCTGCAGTAGCTGGAACAGGGACACAAAGGAGTACTCGACCCCCGTGAAGGACGAGCGTTGGGACGGCAGCGTGAGGGTCTGTGTCAGCTGCTGCGTGGTGAGATCGTAGACCCAGAGACCGAGACGGGACAGCGAGAGGAAGGAGAAGAGGATGATGGCCAGTGTGGTTTGCGAGGGGTTGGGCAGGAAGTGTAGGATGAGGTGTGGGAGGTCCGAGACGGGTGGCGAACCGGGTGATAGGGACCAGAGTGCGAACATGACTGGGACCTAGACATTTGGGTCAATACCTCCTACGCACGGCGGCATCAGAAACAAATGAGACCTACCAGGTTCGAAAGCTGCCACGAGATACCCCACAGCCCCAGCCTCTCCAGACCCGTCTCGGTATTTCCTTGCCCCGAGTCACTCCCAAGCAGTGTCGTGACATCCCTATCATCTATGATCTCCTCGCCTCTAAATCTTCCATGGGTGCTAGCAGCTTTTCCCAGATACTGGACACCGACAGGTGTGACCACCGTGCTGCAAATTTCAACAATACTGCCTGCCGCCCTCGCCACGGTGATCAACTCCAGGGAGAACCCAACGTTGAGCAGAAACGTGATGAACGTGGCACCGTACGACAACGCCGAGAGATGGAGGAGGGCGAGTGCAAGCGAAGGCACCCAAGCAGTGCAAGCGAAGTAGTTCTTGAAATCTTGAACATAGCGTCTCGCTCCCTGTAAGACTCGGCGGAAGAAGCCCGGACGAGGCGTAGATTGAGTACCGGCCACCGCGCTGGAGACATGTCCGATCGCGACGGCCTTTGGAGCCTGAAGACGAGGATTCCGTTTCCAGACGATCTTTGCGCAGAATATCTCGACCGCCCAGCTGGTGGCACTCATAACCCCAACCACGAGGGCACCTACCCGATTGTTGGTAGCCGACATGATAACCGAGATCAAGAGCGGTGCCACAAGCTTACAAACAAGATCGATTCTCCGCATCACCGAATTGAGATGCGTAAGATCGTAGGGTTGACCATCAGGAGCAGCAGCTGTCACGACCCAGTCCCGTTCCATGGACAACATATTTCCGGACGCACTCAGAGCTTCGAAGATGCCGAGGAGTAAGATAGAAGAAAAGATGCCGGCCTTAAGGAGCAAGGAAGTGGGGAAGCCGATGATGCTGGAGTCAAGTGCGGTGATCACTTGTGGGCCGGAAACTGGGTCGACGATGAAGTACCAGAGCATCGAAGCACCGATTACCGTGAGCCTGTTGACAGAGATGGTACTCAGGAGGGCCTGGAGCCGGTTGGGGCTTTGGTCTACCCATCTCCCGACCACGGAGGAGAAGCATATCGATGCGAGCGTACTTACGATGCCGCTGAGGACGTGTGAGAACTTGGCACGTGATCAAGATCCTGAGATGTGTAGGTACGGTCGAGATGGAGCATGGAACATGCGAGACGAGGAGAGAGAGCGAGAGAGAGAAAGAAAACACAGAAAGCGTTACCGAATCGCAGCAGCAAGAAGTGTATCCGGATACGCAGCAGCAGTGAAGATGACCTAGATAACCCACAACGACAGTTGTTCAGCAGACTTCGCTCGCTACTCAGACCAAGGACTTACCGCTGCGAACTCATACGTCCTCACGTTCCACGTTGATAGAAGGTGAGAGGTGTACAAGTTGTATGCTTGTGACCTGCTCATGCCACTATCCAACTCTCCGTCTGGAGTTCTCACAAGCGACGGCGATGTCCATGTGGTCGGGGACGGGGCGTCTTCGATGTTCTCAGATGTGGAGGCCCCCCGCTCGGCATTGTCGTCCATGTGGATGGAAGGTTGTAACACGACGTGAGGCGAGGGAGTTTGATTTGTTTGAAGAGCTGGAAGGGACGGGGTCTCCGAATTGCGTGCGGTTGAATTCGAGTTCAGGCCTGACTTGGCTGAATTGTCAGGGCCATGTGTAGTGTGAATGTTGAGACGATATGAGACCGGGTCGTCGGCGTCAGTGTGTCGGTGTGGATGCCGAGTCGAAGTATAACGTCTGCCGAGAACCTGGATGCCGGCCGGGATGGGAGTCGGGACTCGGGACTCGGGACTCGGGACATCCATCAATCCATCCACACCGCATACCCCTCCTCGCCCTATCACGCATATCAATCACCATGTGGCGCAAAAACTTTTTCTTCATACTAAAAAGTGCTTGGTATTTGAAGAAGAAAGGAAAGAAGAAGTATAGGGTAAAGGATCACTGCTGCTTTTCGAAGCCACTGGTGATACAAATGTGCTCAACCAGGTCGTGTCGCATCATCCGTCTCATCTACCATGGATATCCATCCAACTGTCCCAACCACCAACCCGCCATCCAAGAACCAAACGCAAGCCACACGCGCCGTCGACATGATCCCAACCCGAAAACCCTAGTGTGTATATACCCATGCCGTGAAGAACAAACACAAACGCCATGCCATGATCTATGACATCGTCCTAGCAACAAATCCCATCTCTATCCATCAACCATCACCCATTATCGCCCCCCCCTCCCCCCAAAAATTCCTCCCAAAACTTCAGTGATTGAGACCAGGCCCCAACCGACCAAGATCGCCTCTCGAAGTCAGCGAAGAAGAAGAGAAAGATTGAACTCGTCATGGAGCTCGTGGGTCCGCATCAAAGGGGGAAAGAGGCCATGCGACGACGGGCTCTACAGAGAGCCCATCCTCTCCTCCAACCCATCCCAGTAGACCAGCGGCCTCGGCTCCAGGATCTCCAGCCCCGTCCCAAAAATCTTCCGCTCCTCCTCCATGTGCAGCATGGACGGCTGGCGGTGGATGATGGCGTTGATGGTATGGACCGGCGTCGACGACGAGTGCGACGTGTACGAGTTTCGGTTGCTGCTCGACATGATGGAGCCGTTCGACGACGACGGCGCGCGACGGAGCGAGGAGCGGACGCTCGAGAAGGAGAAGGAGGGGAAGCGTGTAGTGGAGCGCATTTTTCTTGGGTTGGCTGGAGAGTTGACTTGTGAAAGGTCCGGGCGAGACTCGATGTAGATACCCAATTGACTACTTCGTTGTTCAAGGACTTGGGACTTGCTGATTGCGAAAGGGCTTGCTTCGTCGATGCGATCGATGGGAGTTGGTCGAGAGGTCTCCGGGAGGAACAGATGTATGTGTATTATAAGTGCAAGTTCTGCTGGTGCGTCGCCGGCTCAGGGACTGACTGGGAGGTGTCGAGTGAGTCTGGGTAGGGGATGCCGGGTATGGAGATGCAGTTTGCGCGAATGAGTGACGAAGCTCTATGCCGAAGATACGGAGATACGAGACTCGTGAATGGGAAGTCGGCGGTAGTTGACGTCTTTATGGAGCAGAAAGCAATATATAGATAATCTGAAATGACGATCGGGAAGGCTTGGGTACTTAAGTGGTACCGTGGTCCGTAGATAGAACACGTAGAGAGTCTCTGGGATGAAGGGAGCTATGACGAACGCCGCGGCCGCAAATAGAAAGGGAGCCAGGGGATGATAAGTATGATTGATATGTAGGTACCGGTAAGGTAGGGAGAAGAGGAGCAATGGCCCGGGAGAGAATGCAATATAATAATAGTAATCCGTAATACTTAGCAACAATCGAGCAGTAAAGGATGATCATGTAGAGTATGTTTAGGAAATGCAGCCCGGACTTTTCTTCATGCCTTCGTGCTTGGAATTTCCTTGTCCGAGAGTTATCCGGTCCAACCTGGTTGGCCTTCTGGGCTTTTATGCTTTCTGGTTGTTGTTTTTTTTTTTTTGCCTCGATGCTTCAATGCTTCAATGCTTCTATGCTTCTGACATTTAGACTTTTCTCTCTGCATGTTCCATCCCTCCATCGTGTGTGAGAGTTACAGAAACGACGGAAACAAGCGACGCGGGCGATCAGGGTCTTATCCTCACCTCACCCCTTCATCCTGACCAAAGAGGCCGATCAAGGGAAGGGGAAGGGGAAGGGGAAGGGGAAGGGGAAGGGGAAGGGGGAGAAGGAAACGCATGAAATGCCTCAAGTCAAGTCAAGTCAGGTCAAGTCAAGTAAGTCAGGTCAGGTCAGGTCAGGTCAGGTCAGGTCAGGTCAGATCAATTGCAAGTCGCAACCGCAAACGCCAACGCAAACGCAAAGGCAAACGCAAGGATGGACTTGAAATGAATAGACGCGACGAGTGACGTGACATGACTGATGTCAAGAAGGGACTAATGAATTCTGATTCATTGAACGGCTGACTGACTGCATTCCTCCTGGTCCTCTGCGCCCTCTGGGTTCCCTTCGCCCGTCTCAACTCCAAACTCATCCATTGACTGACTAATCAATCCATCCATGCCAAACAGAAACCCAACTCGGCTCATTGCAGTGCAGAGTACAGACAGAGGATGCATGCGTGCATCCTGTTCCTGCAGACCGTTGCAAAAACGAAAATACCACAGTTGCTCGAGGGTTCCAATCTCCACTCTAAACACCCCAATCTCCCGTCTAGGTAACCCTCAGACGGTAATTGTTACGCTGGGGCGGTAGTAATAATAAAAAAAACCAAAAAAAACCCCAGTAAAAAAACCAAAAAAAAACTTCGTAATTAACCAAACCCCCCCCCCGTTCCCCCAAGAAAACTTCGTAATTAATCAAACAAGAAACCCGACAAACCCTGCGTAATTAACCAAATCAGAAACCCGAAAAAACCCTTCGTAATTAATCAAATCAAAAACCCGAAAAACCCTTCGTAATTAATCCAAAAACAAAAAATGCCCCCATCCCCAAAAAGAAAAAAATCGGAATCCGTCCAATAATTCCGAAACCCCCTCCCACTCTCCGATCACACTGCAGGAAGGCAAAAAGCTCACTCCCCCCTCCTCGCCCCTCCTCGCCCCTCCTCGCCCCTCACCCCCCTCCTCCCCCTCCGCGTGGTGAATCCACACGAGTTTTTTTTTATAAACCAAAGCAAAAATGACCAAATGAACAATACTTGCGAATCCACCCATCCACCCATCCACCCATCCACCCATCCACCCATCCACCCATCCACCCATCCACAAGTCCATCAACTCCGTATATCCACAAGTAATCGAGCAGGTACCGGGTGGCACCTCTCCACCAC